CAAATCATTTATCTTCTCTGTACCTCAGTTTCCTTATCTCTGAAATCTGACTAATAATACTGCAGAGAACTGTTGTTAGGTCAGTGCTCTTTTGGGTTCCTGTTGGAGCAGTTCCCTGATGAGATAGGTAAGTGGTCATATAAAGAGGTTGCTGCCAGTTCTCTGCTTATTATCTTGGAAGAATGTAATTGTGTTGCTCATTGCACTTTGGGCTGTGCTTGATGCCAGTGGGAGAGACCCTGGGCTCAGGAGCCTCTATTCAAGCTGGCCTGCCCGAGACAGACAGGTGCAAAAATAGCAAAGAGGAAAAGCGTGAGAATGTCGCATGTACCATTTATTTGTTCAATGGTATCTATAGGGCTTCTGTCCTGTGCTGTCACTGCAGAGATGTTCTGGGCATACTGTGAATGGCCAGCTGGGCCTCTGGCCTGAAGGAACTCATAGTCTACCTGGGCGTTAGTTGAGTAAACACACAGTTATGATCCAGTGTGATTAGTGTGACAGTGGAGTCAGCTAAGATCTTGATCTAGACTGGGGATGTGTGTGTGGGTGGGTGGCTTCCTGGAGGAGGTGACATTTAAGCTAGATCCCAAAGGAGTAGAAGTTAGACCAGCAGAGTAAGGGACTAGGCACAAAATGGGCTTGAGGCAGAGGGACAAGGCCATGCAAAGGCCTGGAGGTAATTAGAATATAAAGTGTGTCCTTTGGGGAGTCGTGGCTGCAGCCGTGCTGTCTGGAGCTAGTTGAATGTGCTGCTGTCATTGCAGGGACGTGGATAAAGTGGAGCGGCAGGCGGTCCCCCAGGCCAATCACGCAGAGTCCTGTCGGGAGTGTGGCCGCGTGGGACCCGGGCACACGAGGGATTGTCCGCATCGCAGCCATGAGGAGTCCTTTGGATTCGAGAGGCGGGAGCAGGAGGAAGATCGGTACCGCCCCCAGAGGGACCCACTGGAGGGCAAGCGGGACAGGAGCAAGTCCAGGTCCCCATACTCGCCAGCTGAGGAAGATGCCTTGTTCGTGGATTTACCCAGTGGCCCGAGGGGCCAGCAGGCTCAGCCCCAGCGGGCGGAGAAGAACGGTGTGCTGCCTGCCACGTATGGCCCGGGAGAGCAGAACGGGACTGGCGGGTACCAGCGAGCCTTTCCTCCCAGGACCAATGCTGAAAAGCACAGTCAGAGGAAGAGCAGCCTGGCCCAGGTGGAGCAGTGGGCAAAGGCCCAGAAGGGGGACAGCAGGAGGTCAGTAAGAGACTCACGTCACTGCTACTAATGAGCATAATGACACAATGACACTAGCCATCGCTTACCCAGCATGTGCTGGTACATGCTGGCCTTAAACTCTCTACCTCCGTTATCTCCATAAATCCCTGCAACACCCTTGCAAGGAAGGGTGGTGGCCCCAATTTATAGATGAAGAAACTGGGGCTTAGAGAAGTGAGGGAACCTGCCCAGGGCACACAGATTATATCCAGGGCTTCCCCATTCCCTAGAGAAACCCAGGGGACAGTAACTGATCTTCTCTGCTTGGCTACTTCTCCGCATCCAGGAAACATTTGTAGCAACTGGAGTAATACAGATCCATGTTTAATTCCAGGCACGTAGAGAAGTGCTCAGGCACTGTTGACATTGGCCTTTATCATACCCATTCCTTTAAGAAGTGATTTTAATTATTTAGAGGCATGCATCTCCTGCTTTGTGCAAAGCACCATCTGTGTTTTATTATAATTTTAGATCAATTAGGACACATTTATGAATGGGAAGAACTCAGGGTCACTCAGCTTCCCCATTGTCCCCAGAAGCCACTGTGTGTTGTCCTCACTGTGAAGACAGCACATTCCCCTCACCATCCTCAGGCTTCTAAAACAAACCGTGGACTGGAGAAGAGATAGCAAAGCCACGGTGCATTCAGAAAGCCCCCGCGGCTGGAGGGGCGCAGTGGATGTCCCAGAGCTCAGGCCACATTGGCCACAGGCCTGACACACCTGCTCTGAGGTGCCCCCCTCATTCTCCCCGTTGTGTGGCCCAGGCCTTCCACCTGCGGGCTCTGGAGAAGGTAGTGCTCCAAGGGGAAGAGCCTAGGCTTCTTTTTCAGTGGGTGGGGCCTCTTTTTCTTGTGCACGTGTGGGTTGTGTAACTTCTTTAATCTGGTCCTGGAGGGCAGTTGTAAGGGATGATGGTGAAGAACTCACATGGGAAACCCCCTCGGCAATTGACAGACATTGTTGTGGGGCAGACTAGGAGACCACTAGGTTAAAACACAGGCCACTGTGTTAAAAACAAAACAAAAACCCCATATTCTTCATTTTGCTTTTTTTCACTTAATATTGTCAGTAAATATATATGTGTACAGATATTTTAATATATCTTGATTATCTTTCCATATCAGCACATATAGATATATTAATTTGAAATGGTGCAAAGTATTTCGTTGTATGAATCTACAGTGCTCTTTATACCATTTCCCTATTGATGGACAATTAGGTTGGTTATAAACATATGCTGTTACAAACTATGCTGCAATGAATATCCTTCCTTGCCCAGTCATCTTCGCACACAAGTCCAAGTATACTTGAAGAACAGATTACTTGAAATGGAATGATTATGTCGAAGGATATATGTGATTTTAATTTTGATAGATATTACAAAATTGACCTCCAAAAGTGCTGTTTCAGTTTCTACCCCACCAAAAGTATTCCTGTTTCCCCACTCCCATATCCTCACTGAAAATTGCTATGCTAGGTTAACTGCTTGCTCTGGTGACCATATAGAAGATGGTTAAATGGAGAAAAGTCTGGGAAGAGAACATGTTCAAATATGAGGTAGTCATATTTTGGGTAGGAGGGGAGGGAGACCTAAACAAAAGCAGTTTATGAGGAGGAGAGGGATAGATGCATGGATGTTGAGATTGGGTAGGTTTAGGGCTTAGTAAAATGATTTATCCAGGACTAGAAGGTTGGGAGAGCCACCGGTGGAGTTGAGGCTAACATTCAAGTGTGACTTGATTAATGGGTCGATGTGCTGTGAAAGATGTGAGCATGGGAGAGAGAAATGAGCTTGAAGAGGAATGTGGTACCCATAGAGTGGCCAGGTGGAGGTAACCGGTATGTTATAGGGAATGTGGGTTCAGATCACAGAGAGATTTGGAAGTCATTGCCCTGGAGGTGGTAGCTGATGTCCTGGCAGTAGTTGAGATCACCCAGGGTTGAATGCTTAGAGCTGTGATTCTCCATCTTGGCTGCACGGTTTGATCATTTGAGGCTTTGCCGCAGAGAATTTGATATAGGTGGTCTGGGGCAAGGTCAAGGAAGGAACCAGTCTGTTTTAAAAGCCCCCCAGATGATACCAATATATGAGAGATGTCTGACATTTACTGAGGCCTGGGTCCTGTGCCAGGAAATCTGATTCTGATGGATCAGGAGTTTTCAAAACATCCCTACCCCTGGCAGTCCTAACATGCAGTTAGGGTTGAGAATTCCTAGCTTAGAGAGAACAATAGCAGAGGGCCAAAGGCAGAACCCTGAGGATCCCCAGCCCAAGGGGGTGGGCAAAAGCAGAGTCTCCACATAGAAGTCTAGTGGGAGACGGAGGAGGAAAACCATAGTGTAAGGGAGTTTCATTTGGAAGGAGTCCAGTTGGCAGCATGAGATGCTGCCTGGAGATGGTGCCTTCTGAGGGGGCTGGGCACCACCAAAGGAGTCTGGAACCTTGGGGTCTCTGCTGGTCTTATGCCCAGTAGCAGGGGCCTTGGTTCCCCTGAGCTTGATGGGCTCAGATGGGCAGACCTTAACAGAGCTAGAATTTTGAAGTGAAGTCAGGAGGCAGGGTAATGGGAGGGGGAGGTGGGGGTGGAAGGGAACCAGAAAGATGGCATGGCCAGTGAGAAACCCTTTGTGGCAGGGGGGCAGAAAGGACTCTCAAAAGCTGTGAAACTGATAGGCAGTTGTAAGTTGTGTTTGGGAAGTGTCTCTACATAACTTTCTGGCAGCCCACAGCCCTGCGTTACTCTGCTACACATAACTGGGGCTGGGAGCAAATTGGGGAGCTGAAGGATGAGAGGTCAAGTACAAGGAGATAAAGGTGGTTGGGGAAGGCATTGGACTGTCCCTAGGATGTGAGATGGGAGTTTGAGCCTTTCTTATCTAAGGGACAGGGTGACATTAGGTCTCTAGGTGAAAACAGTTCATTGGCCTTGAGCACTCAGTGAGAGGAATTTCAGTCCAGTGGTAGAAGCTGTTCTCAGTGGGCTGAGAAGTAAAAGGGATTGAAGATGACCCTTTGGAGAAGAAAGCTGTCAGTCTGTGAGGAAGGAGAGTGCTCAGTCTCCGATCATTCACTTGTATCTGGGAAGGGCTGGATATTGCATCCCAGAGTTATCTTTTTTTTTTTCCTTGAAGATGAGTTTGTAATTTCTTACAGTCAAGTTTTAAGTATATCTGGCTGCTTAACAAAGGAACCTCCTCTGTGAAAATACAGAGGAGGGATATCCCTGCCCTGTGGGACTGAGACAGTGCTGATTTCATTAGATGGAGCACGGTACACACTGGAAGGAGGGTTATGTGAACTGTAATATGATCTCATATTTGCGGCTCTAGACCACACAGGGCATTGTTTCTAACTATTCTTTTAGTACTTGGAGATGTATATATTTTACTTTATTAAGCTCCTTTAGAATGGTGGTTTGGGAGGACAGACTGATATACACTTAGAATCTTACCACATTCTATGAGATTGTTTTGAAATTCTAGCCTTCTAATTTTTTCCTGGTGTTTAATGTAATGCATACTTGTAAAGTAAAATGGCAAGGGTAGGGGCAGAGTCAGGGATGCAAACGTTACCATGAGGAACAGAGTAGAATGTGAAATTCCTCCACAATTGATATGGAAGTTTGGGTGTGGACTATCTACTGCATAAGTAATTGGTTATAAAAATTGATTTCACATTTCAATATGACCATTTTATAGTGGCTATATCAAAATATCCTGTTTGGTGCCTTTTGGAACAGGGAGGCCCCATGGCACAGAGCTGGGTATGAGGGCAGGAGACCCCGAGCCTTCTTTTTAGATAAGGCTGGGTTGGGGGCCAGCCAGTGGATCTGCTCTCAGGGACAGAGCAGCTCCTGCATGCTCCCAAGGGGACCTTTACCTCATCTTACAACCCTACCGCCTGTGTCCCTCCCTCCATCGTCCGCTAGTTACCATGGTTTGGTCTCTGGCACCAGGGCTCACTGTTGCACTGGGGTCTTTGGGGTCACCCCTAGATGGCCAGCACTGGGGGGATGGCAGGCAGTGCATAAGTGGAGGGCGCAGGCTAGAGGATGAGCTGAGGGCTTTGTAGCACTGCTCCCCTGGGGGCTTGTACCGTCTGGGCATGACTGGCAAAACGAGGAGTGGGCGGCAGCGCCAGACTGTGGGCAGTATGGTGGGAGTGTGGCTAAGACGTGCTGTGCGTGGTTGGCATTTTGCTTCAGGCAGAGTGAACAGTGGATGGTAAAGTCGTGATCTCCGTTGGGGGAGCCCCAGCCTGGTTTCTGCCGCTGCCAGCACTGCTGTTTAAGGAGTCAGGCACGGCCCCTTCCTCAGAGACATATTTCTCTCTGTCTTTGGGAAATCAATAGCAAACCCTGCCACCTGGTGGCAAGCAGACAAGCCAGGAAAGTCTGGGCTGAAGAGATCTTAAAATTACCTCCTGTAATTGTAAAGATAAAGATAAAAAGGGAGAAGAAGGCTAGCATTTTTGAATGACAGCCACTTCTAATCTTGACAACAATCTATTAAATGGTTCTTCGCAGCCCCATTTTACAGTAAGGAGAGGGAGGACATAAAAGACACTAACCTGAGGTCCTATAGGTAGGAAGTGATGAGATGAGTTTAAAAACAACTGGAACAGCATTTCTCAAACATCAGCCACCTGGAGGCCACGTTAAAACACAGGTGGGAGGGTAGAGCTCATGCTTAGCATGCGCGCGGTCCTGGGTTCAGTCCCCAGTACCTTCATTAAATTAAAAAAAAAAAGGAAGAGAATAGCTAAAAACATGGGTGGCTGGGCCCCCACCCCCAGGGTTTCTGGTTTCGAGTGGGGGCTTACTAACCTGCATGTAAGTAAGTTCCCAGATGGTGCTGATGCTGCCGGACTACAGTTTGAGTAGCGCTGGCTTAGAATAAGGTCTGGCACATGGTAAGCACTATGTGAAGGTTTGTGAGATGAAATTGATAGATGAAGGCGGAGTCAGGATTCCAACCCAGGCCTGACTCCAAAACCTGTCTTTTTACATCATGCTGCCTCTCAAGGCTTAATAAGGCTTAATAAGACTCTCTCCTTGGCTCCTTGCTGAATTTTTCTTTCAGAAAATAAAATGGCTGGTCATAGTAGTTTTCCTGAGCCTGTCCAGCTTTTGCGTGCCGGAGTATTTGCTGAAGGGCTGGTTGTGCGTCAGGACTTTCTGACTGTGGACAATAGCACAAAAATGTGAGACAAAGTTCCTGCTGGTTGGATAAGAGACATCTTGCAAATAGGAGAAGGTTACGTCAACACAGGACCTTGGAAAAGTTACAGATTGTACAGTAACCAGGTCAGGGCAGAGCAGGAAGCCCGAGGGCTGTGGCATTGCCTCCGTGGAACAAGCTTGGGCCAGTGTCCTGGGGAATGAGTGAGATTTGGTGATATGGCAAGGGGGGCTCATACAGGGAGGGAAGGAGGAACAGTATTATGAGAATAAGGAGAAGGCAGGAGGGAGCACCCACTGGTGAAGGTACTTTCTGCGTGTCAGGCGTGGAGCCTGTGTTCTCTTGTCTCATTTATTCTTCAGGACAGCCTTATGAGGCAGGTGTTTCTGTCCTCATGTTACAGTTAAGGAACCTGAGGCTCAGAGCAGTCAGGTAAGCTGCCTAGGGTCACACAGCTGGTGGACTCAACCCTAGTTCAGACTACCTCTGCTTTTTCCACTGCGAAAAGTTTCCTTTGCCCAGGTGTGCAGGAGGCCAGGCAAGATTAGGGCCCAGCAGGTGCAGGGGTGCACCTGGGAGGGGATGCCTCCGTAAGTGTTTGACCCTCAACGCCCAACTTGCCCCAGTAGGAGGGGCAGTGAGGAAACAGCAGGAAGGCAAGGTGGGTTGAGGTCAAGTGCTAGAGGGCTGTAAGTACCAGGCAGAGGGGTTTAGATTGAACTCCATAAGCAGCAGGCATAAGCAGCAGGGAGGAGGTAATACCCGTTTATTTTTAATTTAATTTAATTTAATTTAATTTAATTTAATTTTTATTATTATTATTTTTTTTTAATTTAATTTATTTTTTTTATTTTTAATGGAGGTACTGGGGATTCAACCCAGGACCTAGTGCATGCTAAGCACACGCTCTACCGCTGAGCTGTACCCTCCCCTCCTGCAGCAGGGAGCCACTGAAGTTTTTGAAGCACAGGAGTGACTGGATCTAAGCAGCTGACTGTGTACGGCATGGAAACTTAGGAAAGTCTCTGAGTTGTCTGGGGGAGGGAATTAATTAGTAACTGGACTAGAGTAAAAGGGAAAGAAAAGAACTAATGCCAGCCACTTCCTTTAAGAACCTTCAGAACTTGGCGCTAGGGAAAGTCTTGATGACTGGGAGGAGGCATTTCCTAGAAATATGCACACCCATTGGAAGAGCTGACTGACAACAAAAGAGGGCAGGTTTAATCACACCGCACTTGAAGTGATGGGTATAGGACAGCCAGGTCAGCCCAGTAGAGGGGTTGACACTCCAAGGTTGATAGAGAAAATGATTCTGGACTCCGCTGCGAAGGGAAGAAATGACTAAAGTCCTGGGTGTCTGCTTTGACTGTTCTGTAGGGGTCTTACCGGCTTGTCTCACGTGCCTGGCTTTGTGGTTTTACTTGGCTGTGTTTCCAGAAGCCTAGCAGACCCCTTGCTGGTCCTCTTACCTGTCCTCTCCTTTCTCCTCAGCCTGCCCTTGGACCAGACCCTTCCTCGCCAGGGTCCCAGCCAGCCCCTGTCCTTCCCAGAAAACTACCAGACTCTTCCCAAGAGCACCCGACACCCCTCAGGGAGCTCTTCGCCCCCTCCTCGCAATCTGCCGAGTGACTACAAGTACGCGCAGGACCGAGCCAGCCACCTGAAGATGTCGAGCGAGGAGCGCCGGGCACACCGCGATGGCACTGTGTGGCAGCTCTATGAGTGGCAGCAGCGCCAGCAGTTCCGCCACGGCAGCCCCACGGCACCCATCGGTGCCGGCTCCCCGGAGTTCACTGACCAGGGCCGCAGCAGGAGCATGTTAGAGGTGCCCCGCTCCATCTCTGTGCCTCCATCTCCCTCGGACATCCCTCCCCCGGGACCCCCGAGGGTCTTCCCACCCCGGCGGCCACACACGCCAGCAGAGAGGGTCACTGTGAAGCCACCGGACCAGAGGAGGAGTGTGGACATCTCGCTGGGGGGTTCTCCCAGGAAGGCATGGGGCCACACCACTAAGGTGAGACTCCGGAGGCCCAGCATTAGGGTGCTGGGAGCCTTACATGGTTTGAACACAAATTTGAGCAGTTTGGTATTATGATAGGTAGCACTTACACAGAACATTTAGGTGCTGAGTGCAGCACTAAAGGCTTTGCTTCAATTCTTAAAACACCCCTATGAGGTAGGCGCTCATATTACAGGCTCCCCCCTCCCCACTACCTAAAAGTAAAGTGTTCCTGCGAAACCTTTCATAAGCCAAAATGGTGTAAAGTGAAGAGGCAGGTACCTTTTTCTGTAAAAGTGAAAATCCTCTTTGGATTTCTTTCGGTTATCAAGAAGAAGTAGTAAGGTGGTCTTCTGTAAAAGCAAAGTGGAATAAAGCAAACTTTTGTGAAACAGGGGGATACCTGTATGCCTATTTCACAGATGAGAACTCTGAGGCATTAAGAAATGAAGTTACTTGCACAGGGTCACACAACTAGAAGTCTGCTTCCTTGCAGCTTGAAAGGCAGGAAAAGATGTCTGTGTTCAGCCAGTTCAATTATTTATACTAACTTGACTTAAGTTTTAACTCTCTGAGGGGCTCTCACAGTTTATTGTTGTTATGACCTGGTGAGAAAGACATGGATCCCCATTTGACAGAAGAAGAGTCTAAGGCTCAGAGAGGTGCAGTGCCATGTGCTCGGCTGCCCTGGCAGTGAGTGGCAGAGGTTCTGGCCCCAGCCCCGTCTCCTTGCCCTGTCTCATGTGACTTCTTGTCTCCTCACTGCAGAACTCCTCTCACGTGGACCGACGCTCCATGCCCTCCATGGGTTACATGACCCACACTGTCAGCGCTCCCAGTTTACATGGAAAATCGGTAAGCAGTGCCTCCTCTCCGCCTCCTGGTGAATGATCTGGTATAGCCTGCGAAAGGCTAATCCCATCAGAGTTCTCCCCTGAGCCCGTCAGGTGCAATCCAAAGGGCAGCTATAACCCCATTTTAGAGATGAGGAAACTAAGGCTCAGAGAAGTCAAATGATTTGCTCAGGCTCAGCCCACTGGCACTGAGCCTTCCCAAGTTCAGCAGAATTGCTTGGGGGAAGTGGAGGAGAATGTGGTGTTTCTTCTCTTTCGGGCAGCATTTAGTCTGCAGCATTTTCAAGCCACCTGTTTTCTTCTCCCATTAGCTCTTGTCCTTTCTTCCCGGTCTTTGCTTTGATTAGTTCACTGTCTTCAGAGCTTGAGTCTGGGTGAGGTTGCATTGCTAGTGGCTGTTTCCTGAGAAAACTACTTCCTGCAGCCGCTTTTTCTGCCAGTCCCTTTATTTGTCCTAATGACAGAATTAACGCAGTAATTACTTCAGGGTGTCACATCAGTGCTGTCCCGGCACCGGGGTGAAGAGTAGTTATAGCGTCGTGCTCTTGCAGTGGCTAATTTCCTCGTGATGTGTCTACACGCCTGCAGCTGGAGGAGCTCTCACTGCTTCTCACCCGGTTACGGCGGCACCAGGCCAAGCTGGCCAGTGTGCGAAATTTCGCCATCGGCCAGTTGCTGCAGCACCAGCTGACCTTCCCCACCTGCCAGGTCAGCTCTGGTGGGCTCTCTCAGGGCCGGGGTCCACCCCGGGGGCAAGGGAGTGACATGCTGGCCCGTGCTCCCTCATGCCCATGCTCTAGTCTGTCCTGCTGTCTGGCTCTCTCCCTTGTCCCCCGCCTGTTTGCTTCTGGATGCTGCTGCCAGACACTGCAGCCGTGCTGGGGCCCAAGCCCCTGGTGCTGGGGAGGAGGCTGCATGTGGCGTGAGGAACCTGAACTGTGGCTTCTGTGGCTGTGAGTAGTGACTGCCAGGCTGGTGTGTGGTCATGTCCAAAGGGCTGTGCTGACTGTCATCCTTGTTGCCACCTTGAGCACTCCTTGGGATGCTGCGAGGTGTGCGTCAGCCTGGAGGGAGAAGGCTGTCTCATCCAGACAGTGCCCTGCTGGTTGACAGAGCGTCCTCACATCCCTCAACCTGGTGAACTTCACTGTAACCTGGGAGAGGTTAGGTAAGGGGGCGGGTAGCAAAGTGACTTGTCCAGGATCCCTCAGCTAGTGGCAGGCAGGCTAGAGCCAAAATCCACACCCTGTCTGGCACAGTGTTCTGAACTGTTTCCAAGGCATGACGGGTTGTAGGCGTGCTCCTCAAAGAGCGGCCAGGCGGTTGTTCTCCCCGGGCATCCTGAGCGGCTTAGAGAAGATGCTGGTCCACATGAGGCTGAGCCCTTCAGGCTGCACAGAAGTAGGCAGAGGACAGATGACGCGAATGATGAGACTGTCACCTTCCTTACCTGTCCTGTTTTAGTGGGGCCTGGGGGACTCAGGAAATGTATTTGGAAGAACTAATGTAAGGGAGCATGTGCAGAAATCCTACATTGTTAATTCTGGTGATTTTTTAATAACATTCTTCTGCTCTGTCCCTCTTACTGCTGTGGGACTGGGCTGATTGAGGAAGTAAGGATGGGTAAGGGGACAGTTTAGGGGCAGAAATAAGATCGTGCAAGTCACTGGTGTCCCCGGCAGTGGTCCTTCAGGTTTTCTCATGCCTAAAAGCACTGCCTGAGCATTTCACATTATTTACTTTCGTGTCTGTTTTACATCAGAGCTGTAAACTTGGACCACCTTCCCAGCCCTGGCTTGCTTTGGCTTGCTGGGAAGTCTCTTGTCGCCTGAGAAAGTCGTGCCTACACTATTTTTCTTAAGCTTTTATAGCCCCTCTGCTCACAGTTAGCTTCTGTGATCTGTTACATGGGAAGCACAAGTTTTAGGAAATCAAAGAATCTTTTCCTTGTTCTCAGTGTTTCTGGTAGTCATACTGAAGAACCCAGCGGGCTGTCAGAGACGACGCAGGCAGGTAGCTCTGCCTGCGCCTTCCTTATCTAGCTCATGACACAGCCGCGTTGGCTCCATGCTGAGCAAAGGGAGCCAAAACTTCCAGGGAACTTGTAGCGGCTACTGGTGCTTATCTTTCTGGAACACAAGGTCATAGGGGAACCTCTCTGGGTCACCTAGGTCATCTCCCTGCCTCTTGCAGGCATCCATCTACACCAATCGGGGGGTCATTTTGCTTCATGCATGTGAAGTGGCCAGTGCAGAGGTTTGATAACGAAAACTGGAGCATTGGTGAGTGCTGGGGCTCTTCCGGGTAGACCTGTCTAGCTCTGTCCATGCTTTCTCTCTCCTCCACATCAAATTTCCCCCAGCCAATGGGGGGACAAACTGACTTTCCCCACATGGTGGACCCACAGGACCCACCATGCTGAAAGGGCTCTGAGCTGCACTGAGACGTTTGCGCTTCCTCTGTGGCCCGGATCTGTTGTCTGCTGTGGTCTCTTGCCCCTGAAGCTGCACAGTGTGAATGATTTACACATGAAGCCCTGAGTTACGGACCCCTTGGTGTTTAATAACTGTCTTTTTCTGTCTGTGCTTCACTTAAAGGCTGACGATACCTACCTCCAGCTGAAGAAAGACCTGGAGTACCTGGACCTAAAGGTGAATGGCTGCAGGGGTCTTGATTTCCCTTGCCTTTTGGATGCTTAGATTCCTGACAATGTCAGCCTCGTTGGAGCCCAGCCCAAAGCCATAGGCTGTGCAGGTCTCGTCAAATAAGGGTTCCAAATGAAGACATCTTCTGTCATCAGAAGGGAGTTTTTTGTTTTTGAGTTTTTTATTTTTCTATGTTGCTGTGGCTTTTGAAAATTTCACTTTTTAAGTTAAGTGTAGTTGATATGTAACATTGTATTAGTTCTGGGTGGACAACATGATGATTTGATGTTTGTATAGATTGGGAAATGATCACAAGTCTAGTTAACATCCATCACCATTCTTGGTTACAATATTTTTTTTCTTGTGATGACAACTCTTAAGATTTACTGTCTTAGAGGCTTTCAAATATGTAATACAATATTATTAGCTATAGTCACCATGCTGTATATTACATCCCCATGACTTAACTTATTTTATAACTAGAAGTTTGTACCTTTCAGGAGAGTTTTATTTCTTACAGTCTTAGACTCTGGGCTCTTCCCAGTTTCTTGTGAATTCTGCTGTAAGGGCTCTGGCTTACAGAATGAGGGCATGAGAGCTTGATCTCTTCTTGTCCTTGGTCAGAACCTCAGGCTCCCTCCAAATAGTAACCAGTGGCTTCTTCAGAGCCTCCAGTGGGATGGGGATGGGCTTGGTTTACGGGGTGTCACTGATGTGTGTTTTCAGGCACAAGCAGTTTGGTGGATTGTTCAGTTTTGTTGCTGGGAGAGCAAGTTCCACATGAAGTTATGTGGCTCTGAGGGGCGCAGTTGTCTTCCATCTGCATTTAGGAGATGGACACCCTCCCTGTAGGTGACGAAGCTTCAGGCTGTAAGTCAGCCTCCATAGCACAGAGAAAGCCCAGGAAAGCTGCTGTGGAAGCTAGAGACGTTCTGCTTGGAAGAGAGCTGCTGCTGTTTTTTTTCCCCACAGCTCTCTGAAAGCTCCCACTGTGAAAAGCTCTTCTTATATCTGAGCCATGACATAGACTGAAGGAATGTGACCTTTAATTAACTGTGGGTGTAAGAGGGCGGGCGAGGTGCCCCGTGGAAGGACACCCAGGTGACTGCCATGGGGGCATGCCTCTCCCAGCCCCCAGTGTACCTGGCTTGAGATGTTTTTAACCCAGGGATCGGCACCCAGCCTTGTAAAAGCAGGGGTGTGAACACCAGGCCCTAAGGCTGCAGATGGGGGGCCTCCCGACTCTGAGGCAAGATTGGGGCCTTTGATTAGGAATCGCTCAGTTGACTTATATTATCTGTTAATAAGCTGAGCACTCCCGGTATACCCACCTCTGGAGAAGCCTAAGGGAGATGCAAGAGAAAAATTGAGGCTCTCTGGACTCGAGAAACTTCCAAACGATCTAGGCTGGGGAAAGAAAATATCCCCAAATAACACTAATTTATTTGCAATGAGTATACAAAGATCTGTCCGGCTCAGAGCTGAGAGGGTGAGGATCACTGTGGGCTGTGATACTGGGAAGGCTTCTGGAGGAGATGGCACGTGTCTGGCGCCTTAAAGAACCAAAGGGTTTGGGTTGGTTGAGATTAAAGGGAAGGGAACAGTGGGAGCCAAGGAGAGCGAGGGTGAGGGTGGTATGGCTGGGGCAGGGGGAAGTGGAGGCAGGTAGTCCAGGCTCCTGCTTCTGTCCTGGGCTTTAGGAAGGAAGGTGCAGGAAACATCTGTCTTCTGATTCCTGTTTGTGGGATAGCTGAAACTCACAGTTGATCTAGAGAGAAGATCCAGCTCAGGTTTGTTTTGTTTAAAGATTGTAGAACTTGAGCTAACTAAAGGGGATCTAGGGAGAGAGAGAAACTGAGGCACAGGATAGCAGAGCAGAGCCAGGAGTCCTCACGTGTCCTGACTGCCTGCATAAACTGAAGAGCAGTAGAGGGTATAATGTGTGTCAGTCACCACGTTTTACTTTATTTCTCTTAAATTATGTAACCCCTGCTGTAGCCCTCTGAGGGAGGTGGTATTACCTTTTTCCCACTAACTAAGGCTCAGAGAAGTAAATGACTTTCCCAAAGCCAAGGCCACATTAGTAGTTACTGGAGAGCTGGTATCTGGGTGTAGGGCTGACCCTGAAGCTGGTGCTCTTAATCACCCTGCCTCCCAGCCACTCTTAAAATGCTGCTTCTACTGTGGACCCAAAGGCATTAAGTCTTTTACGGAGCTGAACTGGGGTCCATCTGCCAGGAAATATGTATGATGTGATACAAGCAAGGTGCATCCTTGGGGTGTTTCACCAGCTAGGAGCTGAATGTGACCAGGACATTAACTAGTGATTAGATGTTGTCACTGTTTGTCATGGGAAACAGCTGTGTTGATACCAGAACTTCCCTGGTCTTATAGCTGTTACTCCAGTTGCTAAGCTCCTCTTAGAGAACCAGTCCCCCAGATGAACAGCACCATTAGGTGAGAGACGCTTGGCTTACCAGCAACGTGTGTGGGAGAAGATGCTGGGGTTTGTGCTGTGTGTGAGTCATCATTCAGAAAGGCTCATGCCACCTTGGCCTCCTTCCAAGGGACAGGGCACCCAAATCAGGGAGGCAGTGGGTCTGCTCTGCTCAGATCCCAGATGGGTGTCTCACTTCAGGATTCAGATGAGTAAAGGGCTGGAATCAAAGGAGGTGCTGAGGAATTGCGAGAACCATGGCTGAGAAGTGTATTAGGAGGGATGGGATGCTTTTGTTCACAGGGTCTAAACCCCGCATCAGCCGGCTGAGCCACGAAGGGAATCTGCTGCTTCACGTGGCCAGGGCCTGCCTTCCAGGGGCTTGGGCACAATGCCCCTCTTCTACTTCCCACCCAAGAAAGGTGGCCGCTTGCACACCCAGGTTCGCTTTGTCCCAGCCCAGCCTCCCTGTGGAGAGAAGGAAGGGTTCCCTAATGGGAAAGCACACTGGGCAGAAACAGGCAACGCAGCAACAGCCACACAGCTGCAGTGCAGGATGGTTGTGGAGGAAAGGGCAGTTCATGCAAGACACAGAGACCGTCTGTAAAGCTCTGAAATATTACCATGTGTCTTCCGTGGCCTAAGGTGGGGATTAAGGCAAGTGGATAGCAGCTACAAGTAGAAAGGTTTCAGTGTAGTAGAAGAAAAACTTCTCTAAAAGGGCCACCATAGGTCGTGGTGACCTCCCCATCACTGGGATGCAGCTGAGGCCAGGTGAGCACTGAATGGGAAGAGTGACCGGATCAGGAACGCCCTCAGGCCCCATGGCTCTTGAGAGCCTCTGATACGCTGGACAGGAGGAGCTGATGCTGAGCCCAGCTGGGCTTCCTGAGACGAGGGCCTCTGAGGACACAAGTGAACCGGGCCCTGGAGCCCAGCCTGAGTGTGGAGATGGCAATGAACGCACCCCACTGTGACCATCTTCTTGTGAGAAGTCCCTCCTGGGTCCTTGTGGGGAGAATAAGGTGAACTTCTCTGGAGAAGGGTGGTCGCCCTGCCCCTAGGGGACCTAGAGTCCCCCTGTGTCCTTGTCCCACAGACTTAGGGATCCAGAGTCCATGTCGCTTCCACCCCCATCAGCTGACACTCAGCTTTCAGAACCAGCTGGTGGTGTTTGCTTGCCCGCGTGTTGTGGAGTTTGCTCTCCTGAAGTGAGCATTCCTGCCGGGGTGCCAAGTGATCAAATAAAGGCAGGCTCCACTCTCTTAGAAGACTCTCTGTGTTAGTGTTCTTTCTGGAAATGTTTACTGCCTTGGCATTTTACTTGGCGGTGCCAGGGTGGAGGGGATTTCATGTTGATTAAGCGTCTGTTCCTGCCTGGCAATGTTTGGACACCGGATGTTCATTGCTTCACTTAATCCTCCCAGCAACTTTGAGCAAATAAGGATTATTATCCCTACCTTACTAACCAGGAACCCAAGTAACAGAGAGATGACTTCTGCAGAGTTCTGCACTGGGGTATGAACTCAGTGACTAACTCCACTCCTGCCTTCTTTCTTCTGTATACCATGTCCTTTGCCCACCCTAAAGCTGAATTCGCTGAATTGTGTTTCTGGCATTAAAGTTCTGCTCTTCAGTACCTTACACCCCAGCCAGGTCTGAAAAGGGAATGTGCAGGTTCTCAGCTGTTGACAGCTTGAATTGTTTTTATGCAGCGGGGAAGCACAGCTGGGAAAGTGAGGTGGAGGGTGCCGGCAGTGGTACCTTTTAGGTGGAGCAAGTTGCAGTCAGCCCCAAAGGCGGGGGATGTCATCAGTGACGCCGAGTGCCTGGCCTTCAGACTCTTCCTGTTTAAGCCTGAGAGCTGGGCTTCTCTGTTCAGGGTCTGTTTCCAGTTAGCTTCTGGAGCAATTTCTTAAGTCATTGTCTGGGCACTATCTATCTCAGGATCACCTGAGAGCTTGATGAAAAAAAAAATTGCAGATCTAGAGGGTTCTGGTGAATTAAAACCTCTGGTAGTGGTGCCCAGAATTCTGCATTTTTAAAATCAAGCGCTGGGGTGATTCTTGTGCACACTAAATTGAGGTCTGTTATTCTGGGGAGAGATTATTAACCCGGTCAGGAACTAGAACAATGAATATGGATGCTTGGATCCTATCCCTTAGAGACTCTGATTTAGTTGGTAATACTCAGATATTACTCTTTAAAAAAGAAAGTTAGAAGAAGAAGAAAAACAACTCCTGAGGTGTTTCTAATATGTAGCCATGGCTGAGAAACATGGTTTCCAAGCAGTGGTCCTCAAAGTGTGATCCCAAATGAACAACATAGCAGTTCCTGGGAATTTGTTAGAAATGCAAAACCTTGGGTCCCACCCCAGAGCTGCGTAGTGGGAACCTGTGGAGGTGGAGCCTAGCAAGTCTGAATATTTAACAGCCCTCTGGGTGATTGAAGCCTGCTCAAGTTTGAGAGCCACTTTTAGAATAGTGGTTCCCAATCCTGACGGCACATTAGACTCCTCCAGGAGAGGGCTTTTAAGAATCCCAGGCCCCACTCCAGACCAGTTACATCCCGGTTCTCTTGGAGTAGGACTCAGGCGTCCATACGTTTTAAAGCTCCTGGGTGGTCCCAGTGTTGGAGCCAGGGTTGGGATGCAGCGTCTTTGTGGATGGAGACAATGTTCCCTCAAAGGAGCCGGAAGCCTTTGGGATCATTGGTAAGACATCATTTTTGAAGTGTGGAGTCGAAGGTGGAAAATGTTGGGCAGAGGTGAGACTAATGCTTCACTCTGAACATTCGGTATCTTATAGTACGTGACCAGGGAGGATGAAGGAAGAAGTAGAGGCCCCCCCTCACCTCCTAGGCAGAGCCAGGGAGGGCATGGGCACTGAGATCGGCACTCTCGCATAAACTGGCCTGTGCGAAGATCCATCAGGCAGTGCTTATGAACCCCCATTTACAGAGGAGGGAACTGAAGTCTGGAGAGGTCCCCCGCCTGGGAAGCAGCGTAGCCAGACTGAGACTTCCTCAGCTGAACTGCACAACCCTCGCATACTCCTTCAGGCTACCCCTGGCCAGTTCCCCAGATTCTGGCTCCTTCAAATGTCATTTGATGTCTCACCTGTTACGTTTTGTTGTATTTGCCTTTTTGTTTGGAACAGATAAAAAATAATGAACCTTTGATCAACGTGCTTTACAAAGTGCTGAAGAAGTCAGCACGGGGCTGTCGGCCCAGGAGAAGCGTAAGATGATCTGATCTGTGTCTCCAGGCGGGGCCATTCCATTGCTTCTGGCTCAGTGCCGACTCCATCACTTGCTTAACCAGGGGCTCTCCTGACCGCCCCCAGGCTTCCTGCAAGTCATTTTGGTTTATTTTCTTTCTATTGAAGCTCCCTCAGCGTTTTGGCTGGTGCACCAGGCTAAGCCTCTCATCCGTGGTGTTCTGTGGCTCCATCTTTTGTGCTGCCATGGGGGTGGTGGGAGGGGGTGGGGCTTGCCTAGCTTGCCACCAGCTTGTGTTGTGTTCCCATTGTCACTTGTCTGACTCCGTGGTGAGGGCTGACCTAGAGCATGAATTCCTTGGGAGGGAGCAGCAGTTCCTGGTCACCTTGGAGGAGCCAGGTGTCCTGAGATTCCTCCCTGGGATTAGGGTGGCTCTTCTTCGGGGCAGGGTGTTGTTTGAAAACAGTCTGGAACTGGACTAGGGTAAAATGCCCACCCTCACCACGCCCCGCTTTGAGTGGTGCAGAAGTGGTGCCTGAAATGTGGCCAGCTTTTACAGCATTCCAGAGGGGGCTGCAGGCTGGGAAGCAGGTGTGTGTCCAGTCATCTTGAGCCCTGAGTACAGGTGTCTTGGGATGTGGAGGGGAGTAAGATGCCTGGGCAGCCTTTAATTCCTTTCTGATGCAGAGACTCTTTCAAATGGATGAGTGCCCACTGACTTTCACTTTTCCTGGTCACAGAGATGCCAGGGACCCATAGTTGATTCTTTTAATAGATTTAAACATTGCTATCACAAAGGGCAATTTGAAAAGGAAAGTTAGATATGGATGTGTCTTAGTATCCTTGGCGCTCTGGAACAAAGCTGAATTCAGAAACTTAAAGGACCTCTGAGCTATGTGAACACTGTCACGAAGCCCCTCCTCCAAAGCCTGTGACCTTTAACCCTTAGGCAGCGGTCTCGGGCCCTGAGCACAGCCAGGTCACCTTGCTTTGTTCTATTCACAAACTCACTAAGCAGATGCTTCTCAAATATCCACAGTATGCTGGGCCCTGGGTTGGGCTTTGAGGATACAGAGAAAATGCATCACAGGCCCCACAGTCACCCCAGTTAGGTTACCGACTAGTGAGGGGACACGGAACGTATCGCTACTAAGGCCCATGGTAGTGGCAGACCCAGGTGTGGGACGATGTCCTTTAATGGGCACCAAACCCAGATGGAGCGAGGGAGACAGGAAAGAACAGCAAATGTGTCGCCTCCGCTGAGTTTCTAATCCTAAGGGGCTCAGTCATTTGAATTCCTAATTCATAGCACGTTAAAAGCAGCACATTAAAAGGGGGACAAAGAGTAAGTGACTTCTTAGGAAAAAGGGAGTGCTAACATCCTGAGAGAGAAAAGAAACACGTCAGTCTGAAGTGGAAGTGAAAGCACGGAAATCTGGGAACATTTAACCAAGTAGGCAAGTAGTCCTAAACACGAACTTCTAAGAAATTCTGCATTACTGGTTTTTATAATCATGACTCTGATTCATCCCCCACAAGGTTGAATTTATATTCAGTATTCTGTGAAGGCAGTGAAGGACATACTTTTAGAAGGCTTTCCATCAAAAAGTTTGAAAGACTCAGCTTTCTGAAAGTGCCCTTTTTGTGTAGAAACACCTCATTCCTTGCCTGATGGTGCTGGGTAAATGAGGCCCTGCTCAGTTAGAGTCTCTGCCTTGCTATTTCAGTATCAAAAAAGATATCATCTGGAAAAAGCTTCACTGGCATAAAGGGAGGAGTTTTGCTAAGAGGAAAAATCCCCCAAGCATGTCTCCACTTGAAAATGGTTTCTTCCTGGGAAATGCACCAAGGGTCAGCGCCCTGGAGAGTAGACAAGTTCATTGCCCCTCACTTTGATGAAGGACTGTGACACAGCGAAGACTTCCCCACCTCTACCTGCTGGGTTCCCCTGGGTTTAAAGGCCCAAGTCTTGTCTGGGAAATTCCGCTGTTTGTGATTAATAACCCTCCCTCCTTTCCTGCACCCCCCACCCCTTGTCCCCAAGGAGCCAGCACAGTCTGTTTTTTGTAGATTGTTGCTGTGGTCAGTGTGTTCTGTGACTGTGTGTATGGTTGTATGTACACATAATTTGCCAGTTTGAGGAGCAGAATTTGGAGTTCTTCTTTCTCTAGGACTGACCTGCATGTATTTCCCTTTGACCTACCTGCAAGGCAGTAAATACTTTGCCGAGTGCCTTCCAGTGTGCCACGCCTTCCTTTCAGGGCTGACTTTACCAAGATGAAGAAGACAGTGGTCCCTGTCCTCTGCTGTGCCACCAGAGCATCGGAATGGTGGGGGCGGGGCTACAGCCCAGGCGCAGTCCTCAGCTCAAGGCATGGAGAGGGCTTCTCCCTTGACCTTGACCTTTGGACTTGCTGGTGACACTTGTCAGGGAGAAGGGAGTGTCGGCCAGTTGAATACATGGCTGGCTTGAGTTCTGAGGGGAATATTTACTAATATATTTCTGCTTGTGATTCACACTCACAAACTTGATAGAGCAGGGAGAAAGTGAGGGCCATGCCTCCAGCGGCTGTGTGTTCATCCACACTGGGACCTGCTGCAAAGTACACACACCACCTGTCTCTGCTGTGGTCAGCTCCACCCTCCATTTTTCTGGTCAGATCGCAAAATGGAGTTCAGCAAGACGGCCTCCCTTACACGGGGCACATTTGACCCAGCTGTCCCTGACCATGGCTTAGCTGTGGGGGTGCGTCTTTGAAAAGGGTCCCCCTGCCCCTGCACAGCTTTTGGCAAAAAGGAGATTTGGAGGAAATGAAAACATGGACTCAAGAGTTAGGCCTTGGTCTCGTATGGGTCAGTGAGAGATGGGCAACATGTCGCCCACACTGGGTCCCGGGAAAGATGGCAAATATGGGATTCCACTAGCGCCTAAGTTTGAGTGATTTTCTTTTTTCCTACTGCTTTGTGGTTTCCTTTCTTGACAGGACAGGGTGACCTGTAACTTGTATTACAAATACGGCCTAACCTTAGCTATTCAGGGATCAGTTGAAAACCCCAACCAGGCATTCACTGGGTTCTTTCTTCCCTTGGCCAGATCCTTTTCCCAAATAGTGGAGAGTGAGGGGGGCTGGTCTTACTCATGGGGAGGTGGGCTGCTCAAATGTTCTTAAATCAGAGCTTGATGATACCCAGGGGATTTGCTCATTCCTCTTGGTCTACCCACCCCACAGCCCTGGGTGGGGGTCATGGACTTCTGTTATCTGAGTTTGACCCCAGGTTTAGTAGCAAAACTCTCTCTTAAATCAATGGCAAATCTTTTGAGATTCATATCGAGCTCATTTGGGGCAAATTTAAGCTTTTTACACTGGAGATACTGTAACTTGAAAGTCTGTTTTTGTTCATTGGAGAAATTTATGAGTACTACTAAGATCTCAAAAAGGTTTTGTTTTTTCCCTAAAATGAAGTACACATAAAAGTAAAGCAGGGATTGCCCAAGTTTTTTGCCCTTTCCATGCTGTGACCCTACCTGCCACTGCCAAGACTTCCACAGCTGCCCATTAAAGGGCTAACTTTTCTTCCTGAGTTCTGATCCTGAACCCTGTAGTTAAATCTCCTTTAAATTGTTCACCTCCCAGATGACAGGCCGGGATCTTCTCAAGGACCGAAGTCTGAAGCCGGTGAAGATTGCCGAGAGTGACATTGATGTGAGTGAGCGGAGTGACAGGCTGACCCCTTGGCTGCCTGCTGCCTCCAGACCCGGGGTGGCAGTGTCAGGCAGGGTTTAGGTGGTTCTGTAGCCAGCGGCTTTCTGATCACACTCCAAGGCCATGCCCTTTTCTCATCATCCCAGGCCCTCTCCAACCTGTTCTGTTCACAGGTCAAACTGAGTGTCTTCTGTGAACAAGACAGGATCCTGCAGGACTTAGAAGACAAGATACGAGCCCTCAAGGAGAACAAAGTATGCACCAGTTTTGCATAATCTTGGGCTGGGTGGTGTGGGATTTGTCATCCTGTCTTTCCGCTCTGTAGCCTAGTCTCATGTTAGTATTGAACAACAGGTATTAGTGTATCCAGAACAGTGTCTTTGGGTTTAAAGGGTATTTTTTGTGGAGCTTCTATCTGAACCTGGAGGAAACTGTATGGGGAGACCTCAGCATACTTTTTCCAGGTACCACCTCCCCGACCTTAATACTGCCCTGGCCCGTCTCTCCTTGGAGGCCCTGTGAGGTGAGCCTGGGAGCGGAGGGCTCCACTGGCTTATTTGTGATGACCCCGGGCCCCTAAACCCAAGGGAAGGGGGCTACCTTGGAGAAGGTGGCCATAGTCATAACAGGGCAGGGGTTTTCACTTTCTAAGGCCCCTTTCCCCTTGAGATCTGGGAAATAGAGGAAGCAACTCTGGTGGGAGGGGAGAAGTGGTCTAGGGGCCACTGATGTTCAGTGTGAATTTTTTCTTTTCTGCATTTAAATGGCATTATGTTTGTGGTGCTCAAGGTTTCTATATAATACACTCTTTGTTCAAGAGCTTAGAAAATTTTCCATCTGTTTGTTGGTTTAGCCTCATAGTTTATCCCACAGGAAGTGGATGGCCTTCGGCCTACTTAATAGATGAGGAATCTGAGGTACAAATTTGTTACGTCTTTGTCCCAGGAGTCCTGCCAGTGGGCAGAGTCAGAGCTGGAATCAGAGGCCCTGACTTTCAGGGCCCCGGCTGGATCTTGGCCCTTCAGCCTCAATTAGATCCAGCAGGTTTGTTTAGTTCCTGGCATGGTGGGAGAGTCTCAAGGGACTGTCCTGAGCAATCCTCTTGCTCTTTGGCCCTGGTCTGATGCAGGATCAGCTAGAATCCGTGCTGGAGGTCTTGCACAGACAGATGGAACAGTACCGAGACCAGCCCCAGCACCTGGAGAAGATTGCCTACCAGCAGAGGCTGCTGCAGGAGGACCTTGTCCACATCCGGGCAGAGCTCTCCAGAGAGTCCACTGTGCGTAGAGGGTGTGGAGGATGGCAGACACTCCCCTACCCTATCCGTTCCCTTCCCAGGATGGGCTAGCCAGGGGGCCACTTTTCTCATCTCCCAAGCTGTAGTTGAGTTGGTGGCCAGGGGTGAAAGTCTTGGAGTAGCAGAACTCCTCCAGGCTGCCTCCTGACTGTAGCTTACTTTGTCTGGGTTGACAAGTCTGTCTCTACTGGTGCCTTAAGCTGTTCTATCAGTGACTCCTGGATGGCTACAGTGACACCCAAAGGATCAGATGTCTCAAAACAGCCTGCCATGTTGTTCCCCTGATCCGTGTGCAGTTAATTCTAAGATGTCAGAATTTCTGCTTTTTTATTTGTACATCTGATGTGATACAGGCCCTGTCTGCTGGAGCTGAGAACCAAAGCATCCTCAAGGGTGGGAGAGGGCACAGGGCAGGTGGCCAGGGTCAGAGCATGAATGAGAAGACAACCCTGTCTCTCTGCCCAGGCCTGCCTGGGGCTCGCTGGGCTCCCCTTCCCCTTCTCCCGGCTGGGGCAGCAGAGGGCAGGAGCACAGGTGCTTATGGGCCCTTCTGGGGGGCCACTGAGAATGAGAAGCACTTCCTTATCCCACAGGAGATGGAAAACGCCTGGAATGAATACCTGAAGCTGGAGGGAGATGTGGAGCAGCTGAAACAGACGCTGCAGGAGCAACACAGAAGAGCCTTTTTTTTCCAGGTGACCCAAGGGTTCTTCATCCCTTCTGAGCTCTGGTTTCTTCTGAGAGTCTACCCCTGTGGGGGCCGCTCACACCCCAGGCTCTCCTCTGGGGAATCCTTCCCCAGCCAGACAGTTGTGAGAAGCCTCAGCTCAGCCCCCTCTGCCTCTCCGCTCTCAAAGACAAGGTCTTAGGTGGTTTTTTTTTTTTTAGAGGTTTTACTACTGATCATTTGTAGTACTATGCTGTACTGTACTGATCATTTGTGACTACTGTCTCCCTCAGAGGAGACAATGCTTCTGACCTTAAGAACCTTACGGAGACTTGAGGGTCATCTGTCTTCTGTGGTTCTTGGCCCGGTCTTGGGGTCCTAGCTGCTCACTTAGCAGCAGGAAGCCCTGCCTCCTTCCCTCCCTGACTCCTGGGGATTGATGTCATTAAGCCCTCACCGGATCGGTGGTGTGAATTCACGTTCATCGAGGCGCTTCTGGTCTCAGGTGGCCATTCGCATTTCTGGAGGCCAGGCTGGGTGATGCCTGTGGCTGCGGCCCCTGCCTCGCTCAGGAGAGGCAGCCTTAGAGCCCTGCCTCCTCGACTTTAAAGCCAGGGTGCCCGTTGAGGGCTGCCTCTGCCTCCAAAGGTGAGCGAATGAAAGGCCTGTGTGGTTTTCCTTCTTGCGGCGGGTTGGGTCCTTCTGCTGCCAGTGTTCCCTCATTGGGGTGCCCAGCCAGGCTTCCACCCTACCCTCAAGATTTTGAAAATGGAAAATAACCCACTTTCAAACCCAACTTCAGATCTGTGTCTCCTCTTTCAGGGCCCTGACATAAATTCAGTTTATTTGAATTCAGCAAGCATTGAGGCTTCTTGTGTACAGGGCCCTGTGCTGGGCCAGTTTAGGAGCTAGAGTTGCTAACTGATGAACTAGCTCTAGCCAGGGCTCTTCACTGAAGTGATCTAATGAATGTGTTGACTGTCTAGACACCAGCATCACCCCCAGAAAAGAGAAGGAATTCGAGAGGGGGTTTAGGTTTGTGGACCAGGAGGTTTTCCCAGGCACTGCTGTCCCTCCACTCACCACTTGGAGCTGGTCCGAGAGAGCCGGGTCCAGGCCCACATGGAAGAGACTCTTGCCTGTGGCTAAGGTTGGCCTATGAGGTCACCCAGACCTTGTCTAGCTTCTGTAGCTGTTGTTTTTTCCCCATAATTTGCCTTCATTTGAACTAACATTTTCCTCTTCTTTTTGAATCCCCAGCATTTAACGTAGTGGCTTGAAATAAATAGGTGAATATTGTTGGCAAAGTCCTTCAAACAGTTTTCTAGTTACTTGTTCCTTCAACTGCCCTGTCTCATAATACTTACCTTCTTGGACTTCAGTGATTCACATGAATTTCAGCAGAATTTTTTTTTTAGCTTTTCTTTCCTTATGTTTCTTTAATCATACAAATAACACAAATGCATCTCTCTGAAAAATTTATACAATGAGAAGCAAAACCAAAAAAGGATGCAAAAGCTCCTCCTCCCTTCCTCTCTCTGCCCCAGACCCATCGCCTTCCCTGTACATAATCAGTGCCATCAGTTTGCAGCGTTGCCTTCCAGATCATTTTCTACACATTTCCAAATGTATATACATACATAGTATCATATAATTTATCTGCAGGTGGGAGTTGGGTTTACTTAAAGAGGAATCATACTTACACATTATTTGTCATAACTTTGTTATGGAAAGATACCCCCAAGCTTATTCTGCCCACAACAGTAGCTATTTAAATTTAAACATCAATTAATTTAAATTAACCAAAAGTAAAAATACATTTCTTAGTCACACTAGAATCATTTCATGTGTTCAGTGGCCATATGTGGTTAGTGGCTTCTATATTGGACAGCACAGATTGTAGAAAATTTCCATAATTTCAGAAATTGTACTGGACATTGTTGGTCTGAGTCAATGAGATTAGTTTTTAACTGCTACATTGTATTTCGTACTTTTCGTATGTATACTCCATACTTCTATTTAGCCATTCCTCCCCTATAGGCATGTAAGTTATTTGCAGTGATTTGCTTTTATAATCAGTGTCACAATGAGCATTTATGTAACTGCCTTTTTGAGCTTGTTTATAAGCATCATTCTAAGATAGGCTCCTAGGAGTGGACTTATTGGGCTGAAATGAGTGTGCATGTTAAATGTTGGCAGATACTGCCAGATCCCTCTCTGCAGGGCTGCACTCATCTGCCCTTCCACTCCAGTGCATGAGAGCACTGAACCTGTTTACCACATCCTTGCCAGCACTTGATGTTATCAGTGTTGTTAGTTTTTGCCAGCTTGCCTGCTAAAAAAGGACATCTTGTTTTAATTTGCATATATTTAAATACTAGTAGGTTTTCATATGATTATTGGCTATCTGTATTTCTATTGTGCCTTATTTAACAATGATTTAATGTACAGCAGGTCCACAGTCCTTCTTTCCCCTCCAAAAACCAAATAGGTCTTGTCACAGACTTCTAGAGAACCTAGCCCTGTTAGTTACTAGGAGACAGGCCAATTTGAAGCCTGGTTCCTGCAGCTCTGTTTCCACCCAGCCTGGTGGCATTGCCCAGGCTTTACCTGGGTGTCACAGTGACCTGGGAAGCTCACAAAGCCCTTCTTTGAGCAGGCTCCATGCTAACTTCTTTGGTGTAATTCTAGGCCAGACAAGCTGTTAGAGTCCTGAATAAATCATTGACACTGGAGACAGGCTTGCAGCCCCAGATGCAAATTCTTAGTAATGGGGCTGGGAAACTCACTTCTCTTGAGCCAGGTTTGGCTGTGAGAAAATCCATGGCCTTTTTGGTAAAGATGAGTAGCTTTATTTATGAAGATCCTCATGGCCACTGGGCAGGGAAACCGGAGGATAAAAGAACTTCCAGGGAACTGTGAGAGTCAGTAATAGGTGAGGCGACCTGTAGGTGTCCCTGCTTCTGGACAATGAGTTCAAGCCTTTGCTGAATGTGGAACATAGGAGCCTTCCTGCACAGTGTGATGTGAGGATACAGGGGTGAAACCCCACCCTTGTGCTCCCCAAAAGCTTCATTCACCTGGTCATTAAGTTCTGAAATTCCATCGTCCTTGGGGAGACATAGAAGTTCTCTGGCCTTTGCTCCTCTCTGCTCTTCTTTTACATGTGGGGGTGACAGGCAAAACGGGGGCAGCATTGTGAACTGACAGAAGTAGGCCAGGTAGACGGCCAGGGAGGAGAGAGATGACTTAAGCCTCAGGCTCGTCCTTCACCTGTTCCCAACACTCTGCTCAGAGACCTCAGCTCTAGAGATAGACCCGTTTGCCCAGGCGTACATCTGTCGTAGGACACTTGCACTTCAGTGTGGAGCTGAGCATCAAGCCTCATATTTGCTTACAGCCCTGAGGACGTGCACTGGCGTTGGAAGGGTGGGGAGAGTATGAGAGTGTGAGCCCCCTTGAGGAGGGAGGCCTCAGACGTCTGTTGTCACAGCTGTTGGTCAGTATTTGATCAGGGAACTTTATGTGGTTGGTCCTTTATTTATTCAGCATACATGTACTGAGAATCTGCTCCGTACCCAGCCCTGCGGGGATGTATCCAGGAGCAGTGGTCTAGGTGCAGAATCGGGCAGATCCGTAAATAACACACGTGTGAGAACTCTTCCAATTAAGGGTGGCCAGGTGCCCTCAGAGGAGACAGGGGAGTGGAGCCTTCCTTTTTAAGTCCATGGGGTGGGACCATGATAATTTTAAAATTAGAAGAATACCATATCTGATGTTTAAACAACTCAATTAAAAGATACCCGTGACCCCTGCTCACGTCTTTCTAGGGCCTCTTCCCAGGTGGTTTTGGTTGTAACTTTCAAAGTGAGGTCACATAGCCTGGCTCTTTTTCCCTTGTGCTTTAAAAAAATAACAGCTTTATCATGTAATTCACATACCACAAAATTCACTATTTTAAAGTGAATTAAATTTAAATGCAGTGATTTTTACTACATTCACAGAGTTGTGTGACCATCCCCAACAATTAATTGTATAACATCTTCATCATGCCCAGAAAGAAACCCAGTACCCAGTAACAACCATGCCCCATCCCCACCCCAGCTCTCAACGCCTGCTCTAGCCGAGCACTAATCGACTTTTGTCTTTATGGATTTACCTATTCTGGACGTTTCATATAAATGAAGTCATACAATATGTGGAATTTTGTGTCTGGCATCTTTCACGTGACATATGTTTGCAAGGTTCATCCATGTTGCAGCACATATATTCATTCCTTTTTGCTGCCAGGTACTTACTGTCCACTGCCCATGTACTCTTAACTAAACCCCAGATCCTTGGATAGATGCTCTTTATATCCTGGGGATAGTGTAACCTCTAGTCCTTGCCTTCTCTTCTCTTCTGCCATGGTTGCCTAAGACAGTCTGTTTTTTAAATCGTAAAATACACATAAAATAAAAATTACAACCTTAACCATTTTTAAGTGTACAGTTTGGTAGTATTAAGTGTAGTCACATTATTATACACCCACATCTCTAGAAATTTTTTCATCTCGCAAAATTGCAACTCTGGACGCATTAAACAACTGTCCCAGTCCCTTGTCTCCCCAGCCACTGGCAACTACCCTTCTACTTTCTGTTTCTGAATTTGGCTACTCTGGATAACCTCATATAAGTGGAATCATACAGTATTTAAGACAGTGTTTTTAAATTAGATGAACAGGTGAGCGAAATCCTCTGAAATCTCTCCCCTGGACCTTGGGCATCTTCCATGCCTGCACTTCCCCAGGGAGCTGCGAAGCAGGCATGGTTATAGCCCTGGTGGGATTTCCAAAGGGGATACTGACCCCCAGGGACAGGGGCTCTGTCTGAAATGACAGCATTCTGGTAAGGAGCTAAAAAGGAAATGAACCACCGGCCTCATCTTCCTCAGGAGAAATCGCAGATACAGAAAGATCTCTGGAGGATTGAAGATGTCATTGCAGGCCTGAGTGCAAATAAAGAGAACTTTAGAATCCTGGTGGAATCGGTCAAAAATCCGGGTGAGCGGGCCATCTTCCTGGGGGTGGGGGTGTTGGAGGCCAGCACCCAGGGATTTGGGATGGCCCCTGGGAAGGTTGGATCTTCATGGCGTAAATCACTCCTGTGTCCTCCGAGGAAGAGGGTCTTTGTTCCATCACACCCTTTGCTTCCCTCCGTGCCTCTCAGAGAGAAAAACGGTGCCTTTGCTTCCTCACCCGCCTGTGCCTTCACTCTCGACTTCTGAGAGCAAGCAGCCCCCACAGCCCAGCCCTCCCACCAGCCCAGTGCGGACCCCTCTGGAGGTTCGGCTGTTCCCCCAGCTGCAAACTTACGTGCCGTACCGACCTCACCCACCCCAGCTGAGGAAGGTGACGTCCCCCCTGCACTCACCAACCAAGATGAAGCCCAAAGTTGTAAGTATTGACGACCAGGAGCCGAGCATGATCGTTTCCTTTCTGGTGGATGATTGTTCCTCTCTGTCCTCAGGTCAGCTTCTCTTGGGAGAGAAGCTTTTTAGGAAACTTGGGGAGACAGAACCAGGCAGGGTCCTGAGGGGTTCCTGAGCTGTGAGCACTTAAGGAGTGATGGGGGCCCTGCCGTTGTGCTTAGTCTCTCTGAGCTAGAAGGGCCCTGAGAGGTGGTCTAGCCCAGCCCTCCCCGTTTACAGCTGAGAGGGCTGAGGCCAAGTAAGAGGAAGTGACTGCACTGAGCAGGGCGGAATTTGTGATCTGCATCGTGCAGGGAGGTGTGTGCCTGCCCTATGCGGGGCTCTGTGCACATCTGCGGTTACACAAACCTGTGGGCAGTGAGTGCATCTCAGCAGAAGAGCGTCCTTATCTTCACCTGTAGCTGAGCACCGTGCTGGGTTGTGAGGATGCACATGATCTTCACAACAGCATCATGGAGTAGAGGCGGGAAGGGCAGTATCCCCATCCCACAGACAAGAGAACTGAGGTCTTAGGGTGTTAACATTTGCATAAGGTCTCCATGCTAGTGGATCCAATCCGCATTTCCCGGCCATTCTTTGTACCATCTGACGTCTAATTAGACATTCAGCCCTGGTCCTCAGGGCAGGCCTGTGGCCCATGAGGTTGCTGAGGCCAGCACCTTAGCTTGCCTGACATGGAGAAGGGCCAAGCCCTTGGCCAAATCTGGGAGCACAGGAGGCTCTAAGGAAATAGAAGATGTGGTCAGGGCTCATGTCTCCAGGGCCAGGCCAGCCTTGGCTGGGAAAAACGAGGGGCCTGGTCCAAGTGACAGGGGAGCTATGGCAAAGGGGACCTTGGAATGGGGCCCCCAGGTTTTTGCCAACAAGGGCTTGGAGGAGCTTTGCCTGGGCACCGTGTGTGTTTAGGACATCTGACGAGATCGGTGCTCAGTGGTGGCTGAAACACACAAGCTCCCGTACCTGGTCCTCACTGTCCACCTGCTTCCAGCCACAGCCCAGGGCCCAGAGCTAGAAGACAGGTGCTGGGACCCAGGGTCACTGTGAATTTCTTCGTCCTGAGATCTCCTTCCCAGTGCCAGATCAGAGAGTCATGGAGCAGCAGCCACCAAATAGGAGGTAGAAAATAGCAAAACAAATAGAAGGAATGACGGGGGCAGATGGCTGCTGCCAGCTGGGACGAGGAGCAAAGGGAAACGGGAGGGCTGCCTGGATCCCCTCCTAGTACTGCATGTGTGTTCATTTCTTAAATTGTCGTTTAAATTGCTTGTTTTATATTTATATCTGTGAAATAATGATATGCATCCTGAAATTGACATAAAGCATGAATATATAATTTAGCAATAGTAATAGAGACCACTTACATTGTACCAACACCCAGACCAAGAAATTGAGCTTTTCTAGCAACCAGAAGCCCTTGGAGCCTGTGGGACCCTTCTCAGTGCAGGCCCTTTCTCTTTCTACCAGAGGTGCATACAGCTGTAGTCCTTTTTTTTTAAAATTTTTTACTGAAATACAGTCAGTTTATAATGTGTCAATTTCTGATGTATAGCATAGTGATTCAGTTATACATATATATTCATTTTCATAATAGGCTGTTACAAGATATTGAATATGGTTCCCTGTGCATATAGCTGTAGTTCTTTCATTTTGTTTGGTTTCTCTTGTATTTAATGTCATTTATGTTTTTATTAGACAGTATCCTGAAAGGGTGCAAAATAAAAGGATATAAAAAGTATGTAAAATGTCTCCCTCCCAGCTTCTATCGTGAGACATTCTATTGCCTTCAATGAAAGGCAATCAGAGGTTTGTGTGTATCTTTCTGTGGGGCTTTTTACAAATTGGTGGTTCTAAGATCTTGTCAGGGTTGGAAATTACTGATGCTCAGAGAGCCTATGGGTATCTTGGGTAGGCGGCTTAAACTTCTCACAACAATGAAATGTGTTGCTTTAAAAGAATGCTGATAAACCTTTGCAAAACAAGCTTGCAGCACCCTTCCCTGAATTGTGAAAAATTCTGAAAAACAAAGCAAAATTAGACCAAGAAAAGGGGCGTTTAGGAGGAAGGAGTCTTGATGGTCATTTGTGCCAGAAGTGGGTGTTTGTGGCAGCCGGGGGCCAGGCCGTCGGTCTGTAGAGAAGCCACAGCTTTGAGAGAGCATTGTGGACTGGGGGTTCAAGGAAAATAGTTACATTCATCACAGTGCAGGGAGTGGGCTGCAGGGAAGGCAGTGAGTCACCCATCTCAACTGCCTATTCAGTGCCTGAGTCAGGAAGGAGGAAATATTTTGTAACCATGCACATTTTTGATAGAAAGGGCAGGAGGATGTCTACTGTCCTTGCTCAGATCCCCCGCCTGCTGGAGGGAGGACGCAGAGACTGTGCAGGGAAAATGAGCCAGCTCAGTCTGAGCACCGGGGGTCGGGTGGAGGTGGTGGGGTGCTGCCATAAACAGACAAATAAGTGCAGTTACCAGCCTGCCTCCCCTTATGGTGCACCCTGAACAGTGGAGGGAGAGCATGGACCCAGGAGACTGGGCTCTGGATTGTGTATAGTCAACACTCTGAAACACACAAGATGTGTGAATCAGAGGGAAGGATGGGGTTGGAGCAGAGGCGTGCTCATGGCTCAACCCTCAGCAGGGGAAGTGTTGGCATCTTTGTGCTGAGGTGCTTATGCTCTGCAGGCCGAGGCGGCCAGCTCCGGCTGTTTGGGCCATCACTGTGATGGCGCCCCTCAGCATCCTCTCACTGACACTCATTCGGGGTTTTCTCCTGAGCAGGATGACGAGGCTCCTCCCAGGCCCCCACTGCCTGAGCTCTACAGCCCGGAGGACCAGCCCCCGGCCGTGCCCCCTCTGCCGAGGGAGGCCACCATCATCCGGCATACTTCAGTGAGGGGCCTCAAGCGGCAGTCAGACGAGAGGAAGCGAGACCGGGAGCAGGGGCAGTGTGTGAACGGGGACTCGAGGGTGAGCAGGCAGGGCCCTAGGGGTCGCCCCGCTGTGTGTGGGGAGAGGGAAGGTGGCCTGACACCCAGCGGGTATGACAGCCTCAGGCTCTGCCTGCAGGTGGAGCTGCGGTCATATGTCAGTGAGCCTGAGCTGGCGACCTTCAGTGGGGACATGGCCTCGCCCTCCCTGGGACTCGTGGGCCCCGAGAGCAGGTACCAGACGCTGCCAGGCAGAGGTAAGGCAGGACTCTCCATGGAGTCTTTCTGGGAACCCCGCCACTACCACACCACTGCTTCCCAGCCCTCACCCGGTCCTCGCACCCTTCCCGACGGTGTTGGGCCTTGGTGTGACTAGCAGCTGTCACAGTCTCTGGGATGTAGGGAGGGCCTGTCCTTCCTTCCTCTGGTTCACATCCTGATTCTCTTCCTCTTTTATTACAGCTGGCCCTGGGAACAATGATAATAGCAATTACTTGTAAAGCCCAGCATTCTATTCACTTAGTTAAGATTCATGATAATCCTAGAGGGAAGTACTGTTATTATCCCCATTTTAGCGATAAGAAAACTAAGGCCTAGAAAAATTAAATGACTTGCCAATTAGCCAATAAGGAATGGAGCCAGAATTCAAGCCCAGCATTCCTGCAGGCTGGGATGTTGGGTGACTGCCATCAGCGTGGTCATCTCAGGCCTTCTGGAGGGTTTTCTGCTCTTCTGTGCCACTCCAAGACTCAGTGAGTCCTTTCTTTAAACCAGCACACCCTTCTCCTCAGTTGACCCCCTTCTCACTCCCTTCCTCTGTCCCTTAGAGATAGGGGTGGGAACAGACTTGGTCCCTTAGACTCATCCATTTTCCCCACAGCCAGACCCTCTTCCTCAGAATTCCTTTTAAAGGGAGGACACGAGACATCTCTGTACCTGGGCCTCCTGGAACCCCTGAGTAGGCTGACCACACTCCCTCATTGCTCCTCACCTGATCCTTCTGTCCGCTCCCTACATGGGAGCTCAGGTGCTTTCCCCCGTTGGCTGTATGTGGAGGGGGGAGGCCACACAGCCGCAGGTTGGGCGCCTGTGGGGTTATGTGACTTCCAGCTCACTGTGCTGTCTAGGCTTGCTGTGGCCTGCACTGGTCCCTGGAGGCGGTGGGCTCTGACTTCTGCTGAGTTGGGCCACAGCAACCCTTGGTGTTATGCCCAGGAACGCTGTCCCCTTCATTCATCACAGTCTGGTGGTGGTCATCAGTGCAGCATTAGTGGCATGTGGGACAGGATGGTTCTTTGTTGCTTAAGGTTCTCTGGGCATTGCAGGACATTTGTCAGTCTTCTTCCCATGTGCTGAATACTAGTGATGTCCTCAGTCAGTGTGATGCCCATTTCTGGATGGCAGGGACCACCCTTGGTAAGAATGCCGCTAGTGGAGAAAGCACAGGCTGTGGCTTCACGTGACCTTGGACAAGTTGCTTAACCTCTCTGAGCTTTAGATTGCACACCTCTGTGTGGTTAGGCAGTGCTACCTGGTAGGGCCAGTGGGACAAAGTCTATATGAAACACCTGGCACCATGCCTGCCTGCTGTACAGGAGGTACTCTGTGCTCGGTGCTTTCTTCTTTCCCTTCTTCATTTGTTCATTTATTCAGTCAGTCAGTCAACCTGGCAGTGTTGAATTTGCAATCTGATTAGACAGGTATGTTGACTCTGTGGTCAGTGCAGTAACCAGTGAATATAACTGAAGGATGTGGGGAATAACTGATTCTGCCTGGGGCATTTGAAAAGGCTTCTCACAGACAAGGCACTCAGGTTGGGTCATGCAGGATTCATAGGAGTTCATCAGGAAAAAGGGATGCAGGGCATTCCTCGACCTCTATCCTTTCTTTTTGCCAAGCAGCCCAGGTCTCCTGCATGTGAGGGAAGACTAGGGTAGTCCACAGATCTCTAGGGACAGAGGGCACCCAATGGCTGGCCCTCATTCCCTACCTGGGGACTTGCTTTTCCAGGTCCTGGGCAGGAAGGAGAGCAGATTGTTGGTTAGGTCCTTGTGGTCCCCTCACGGGAGTGGGAGGTGACGGGGGAGGGACTGGTGGTCTGTCTTCCTCATCACAAATCCATTTGCATGTCTTTCCTCACTAAGGGCTCTCAGGGTCCACGTCGAGGCTCCAGCAGTCGTCCACCATTGCTCCCTACGTCACACTCCGGAGGGGCCTAGATGCCGAAAGCAGCAAGGTGACCTACCCTGTGAGTGGCCTTGAGAAATTCTCGAGGGGCTCACTGCTCCCTCATGCACAGAGGGAAGGGCTCCGAGGTGGACAGTGACTGGAGATCGTGTGAGGTGACCTCAGCCCTTCCTGAGCTCAGAGTCCCTGTCATTGTGTGCTCATGACACTTTCCCTACTGCCCACCAAGAAGGGCATCACACTGCCCTCTCCATTGCCCAGAGGTCCCCCACCTTTCTCTCTAGCCTGTGAGGCTCGCCCAGGAAGTCTGTACCCTGAGTTCTGGCCTATCACATGCTGCCATGTGTGCCTGACTGGACAGGCTTGGGCCTCAGTGTCGCATCTGCAGCTGGGACACTGCCCTGAGGGCCCATGAGGGCCAAGGGTATCATGTCCATGAGTGTGCGTAGCAAGTGGTTCTCAGTGGCCAAGTGGAGCCCACTGTGCATGTGAATATGTATGTGTGAGAGAGAGAGGGCGCTGCCCACTGTATTCCCAGCCCAGCTGCCCTGTCTGTCTCTCACCCTCCTGCCCTCAGAGACCCAAGAGTGCCTTGGAGCGCCTGTACTCAGGGGACCACCAGCGGGGCAAGATGAGTGCGGAGGAGCAGCTCGAGCGCATGAAGAGGCACCAGAAGGCGCTGGTCCGGGAGCGCAAGAGGACGCTGAGCCAAGGAGAGAGGGCAGGGCTGCCCTCGTCCCGCTACCTCAGCCACCCGCTCCCCGGAGACCTCGGCTCAGTATGTTAGGAGGGTCCAGGCAGGCGGGGCTGGGACAGGGAGCAGAGCTTCCCCGAGTTCCCCAGACACAAGCACGTCACACCCTCGAGACAATGGGCCGTCGGCCTGGATGGTTCAGAGAACACCCCATGGGCTGTGTGTCCACAACCCGGGACACATGTCAGAGAGTGCTCGAAACCAGAGCAGGAGTGAGGATGTCATGGCAGGAGCCTGGGAGCCAGAGAAAATGTCCAAAGTCAGTTCTCCAGTGGAGCTTGAGGGAGGACTCTGTAGGCACCAGAGTCTCGGCGAAGCAGGGACTTGAGAGTGCAGGGCTGGCAGGTGGAAGAGGAAGATGGTGCTATGATCTGAGGAGGAGGAGCGTAAACCAGCCAGTCTCCCATACCTCTGAGCAGGTGCCCTGTGGGTCAGCTGAGCACAGGGTCGTGCCCCACACCTCTGAGGCCTGGGGGTCTCCCACAGCTGTGGTGCTGGCCCCCTGGTGCCCCAGGAGAGCCAGGGTGTCCACGCTGCCCCCTGGTGGTGCTTCCAGTCACTGCACCCTGCCCACTGTCGCCTTAGGTCCCTTTTGGAAACATTCCATTTGACTTTTCCCTGTTGTTTGACATCAAGTGTTTCCCTAGACCGCTAGCCTGACTGTTCTTTCCCTAATTCATTGCACAAGCTCTTTTGCTTTTAGCGTTACCGCTCATTGCCTCTCTAACCCTGCCTGATTGTGTTTACAGAAGCTTCTAATCTGCATCAAGCATTCTCTAACTGGCCTGTGCTCTTGTTACCAGGCTTATAATAGCAGCTCTTTTCTCCATAGCCTAGCGAGCACTCCCATGTGTGACTCACCTTTCTGCTGCCCTTTTTATGTAGGCCTACTGACTCATAATTCACGGTCCCAAAGGCCACCCCGCAAGGCTAAGCCAGCCCCACTGCCTGAGGGCCGTGGTCATCGGCAGAGGTCTGGGCATGATGCATTTATCAAAGTCCATGCCTTACACCTAGACAGTAGACGTGGACTTCAGAGATTGCATGTTTGAATAAGTTCTTCCAGGTCTGAGGTGGTTCAGTTTTAATTCCTCCAGTCCCATCAGCACAATTTCTTATGGAAAACTTTTTGTATTTCTAGTATTTAATAACATGAACGGATAGAAGAGACATTATGTTCTGTCTCCAGAGGGCCTCTTGCAGCTGGTTAGCTCAGACACCAAAGGGGTAAGACCCAGGACACGTAACCTGAAAAGCCGCAAAGCCAGTAACTTTTAAACTTTATAAGTAAATGTCATGTGGGGTAACACTGACTTTTTACAACCTGATGTTTCAAATGTAGAAAGATGATCTAAAAATCGTAACTTGAATACCTTGTAATTTTTCTCTTGAAAAAAAGACTTGTGTAAGTCTCTGCCTCAGCGCCAATAAACGTGTTGCTTAATGATAATGGATTGGCGTGGTTCTTCCCCAGGAAACACTGTAAAATCTAGTGAACTTTTTCTGTTTGTGGAAACAATCAGGCTGGGTTTATGTGAGGACTTGTCTCTATTTGGGGCACCAGTGAGCGTGTAAGAAAATGTGCGTTTTCTTTGTGAATCATTAAATTAATTTTTGACCTATGAATTTTCAGCCGCCTAATCCTTTCATACCATAATTGGAAACTATCACCTAAGAGAAATTACACTGATTTAGAGTCATCACTGAGAGCTTGTGCATGAATGGGTGAAATGTGCTGATAATGGGTATGGGACTGGGGGGTGGTGGGGGGCTAGGTAGGGCATTAAAGGCCATTGTGACCTCTTAGGGCTCTGAGGTGGATGGGGTGGGAGGGAGGAGGTGACTTGGGTTGTAGAAACATCTGCTTGGCTTTTGCTCAAGAGAAAAGAGGCTTTAAGCCCATTCCTTCCTCTCAACAACGCGCTCAGCTTTGAGGCCACAGGTCATCAGGAAGAGCTGAAGTGTTGTGCTGGGATCTTAAAGTGACTAGGTTACTGTTTCCCTCTGTGCAGCCTGCTTGTTACAGAGTTGGTACTGCGGAAGAGCCTTGGAAATGTTGTATTTGATTTAGCATTTTAATTTTACATGGTTTTGTTTTTTCTAACGTAAAACATCTGCCCCAAATAGATACGTGTTATGCAGCGGTTTATCTGCTTCACTGAGCCCAAGCTGCTCCCATTTGGACCTCCCCAACGCCACTGTGGGTGCAGTATTCCCCACTCTTAACTGTGTCCTGTTGAGAATACCCACTGGAAAGGCTCTTGGCTACTTCACTTGCTTACCAGGGCCTCAAAGGGCATGTTTTCCCCATTATTTCTGAGCTGGGACATATGGCTCCTGAACCAGAAAGTCTTCCATGAGCTGTCAGGCAGCAGAAGCAGCAAATCCCTTCTCTGGAGCTCTGTCCCAGGTTCTGTTTTGGGGTCACCTTTTTGGACCTGGGAGCCTCCTATGTCCCCGAGGACCATTGTGAGTCTAAAGTCTGTGCCCTGGAGGTTTGTACACTCTGGGACCCAGATCAGAGAGAAATCAGCAGTCTAGAATCAGGCCGCATCAAAGAGGCAGAGCCTTGGTCTCTGTTTCACAGTTTCAGCACACAGCAGAGACCATACATATCACAAAACTGCTGCCTTATTTCAGAGATGAGGTTGAGGTCCTTGGTCACATAGCTTTTCCCTAATGAGTCACAGGCCCATCTTCCCAAGGACCCCAGTTGCCTGCAAGACCCACCCAAAAGGGAGTCAGGAAGTGACTACATTTCATCCTCTCATTCTGTTGCCAGTGGAAGCGCGAGCAGGACTTTGACCTGCAGCTGCTGGAACGGGCCGTACAAGGGGAAAGAAAGGACCAAGAGGAGAATGGCTGGCTGAAGGTGCAGGCCATGCCTGTCACTGAGTTGGACCTGGAACCACAAGACTATGACTTGGACATCAGCAGAGAGGTGAGGGCAGGGGCTTCCTTCATGCCCCACCAAGAGGCATGGCCTTCAGACTCCCAGCCTGACCAACCCTCCCAGTGGCCCTGGGAGGGTATCGTTCTGAATGGGGACAGGCTCAGCCTCAGTGAGGCCCAAGAGGATGCGTGAACAGCAGCTTGAGCCAGTAAGAGGAGCTGAGGCATTTTGATGCAGGTCCAGATCTGTCTCTCTCTATAATTTAGGGCAAGTCATTTAACTTTTCAGTGCTTTGGTTTCCGCAGCAGTGAAGTGGGTTGTGGTGAGGGCTAGGTGACCCAGCACACTACCGGAGCGATTAGCAAGGATCAGAAAGCTGTGAGCATATGGCCTGGCACATAATAGACATGTGATAAGATAGTTGTTAGGATATGTACCCTGCAAAACCAGAGGTTGGTTTTGCATCCAGCCGGTCAGGCCAACTTGAGCAATCGGACTTAGAGAGAAGAGTGGGTGGGGAGACAGGTTTGGAAATCACAGACGAAATTTCCAGCCAAAATAGCGGCGGGCAGCTCTGCATAGTTCTGGTCTGAATTCTTCTTTCGCCCTCTGGTGGCTAAAATGTATCATTACCAGGCAGGCCCCGGAAAGCAAGTAACCCCAATCAGGAATGTATCTTATCCAGAGAAGAGAAGAGGGGTCAGAGGGTGACATAGACTCAAGGTCTTCAAGACATGGGGTGGTCTCCGGTGGCCTGTGTAAGCTCTGTAGAGCAGTGTCTGTAGCTGTTTTGTTCACCTTTATGCACCCAGCACTAGACCTGGCACATAGTAGATGCTCTGTAAATGTTCGATGAATGACGATTCTGCTGAAGTGCACAGTGGCAGATGGGTTTCCCAGACACATCTGGCCTGGCCTGAAACTGCATGAGAGGAAATGCTGTCACCACATGAAGGATAGATCCAGGTTTGGACACACTGATGCCTGTGGAGTTGCTGAGTTCTGGGCTCAGCTGAAACTTCAGGGGTTGACGAGGCCAGTCCTCTGCCTTCAGACCTTTTCCCTTTGGCACCTCTAAAACAGCCAAAGGTTTGTGCTTTCTCGGACTCACAAAAGAAACTTTTGCACGCTGCCTTGGCAATGAAAGTGTGTTTTGTAGTGTCCTAATTGGCCTGCCAGCCAGGGGAAAAAGTCCTTCCTTATCTCTAACCTAAATCCCTCCTGCTACAATGTAATCTTCTTCCTTCCTCTGGATCTGCCCTCATTGGAAATAACAGAGAAGAGCTTATTTCTTGCCATCTTTCGCCATGGTTTAAATTCAAGTCCAGATTTGTTCTGGGATTGAATTTAGCTTGTTTTTAGAAGCTTCAACAAACCCTGTTTTAATGTGCTGTTGTAGTTCAAGGAGGAAAAAAATTCCTTGGGGTGTGCAAAAGTTCCCTTTAGGATTCTTGGCCCCAGCAGCGTTTCACCAAGCTGAGGTTGCTGTTCGGTTTGTGTGAGAGACTGATGGGGAGGAGTTGGGCCATTTTTCTCTTTAAAGCAGCAAGTACAGCATGGCTGCCTCCTGTCTGGGTCAGAGGGGCTTTTGTAGGGACCGAACACACTGTTGCTCTCTTTCATCCCCCACCCATCCACCGACCCACCCATCCAAGGAGTGTTTGCTGAAGGGCTACCAAGTACCAGGTCTCTGTGCTAGACAGCAGAGAGACAAATGGAAAACAGAGGGAGTGGTGGAGTGGGACACAGGGGAGGGGGAGGGAAGGGCTCTGGAGGTGAGATCAGAAGGGTGAGAAAGAGTTCATGAAGCACAGGGAGCAGCATCCCCGGCAGAGGGAATAACAGGGACGGAGGTGGGTCCGTGAAGTGGAGAGGTCGGCAGAGGTCAGGTCACATTAAGGGTGGTGATTTTTATCCTCAGAGCTTCTGGTCTAGTTATTTTTGCCTTCCCTCTTCTCTTCCCTTGGCGTGGAGGAGGTTGCCTGATATGGTGGAAAGAACATGGGCTTTGGAGTCAGACTCAGGTTCAGATCCCAACTCCACACGGACTGCTGCTGTGATCTTAGCATGTGCCTTCAGTCTGTGGGCTCCATGCGCTTCCTCTGGTGGGAAACAGGGCCGGGGAGCAGCTAGCTCTCAAACGTAAACATCTGTACCCCCTACCCCCACCGCCTCCTGGTCCTTTCTCAGCTCTCCAAACCAGAGAAGGTCTCCATCCCTGAGCGTTATGTGGAGCTGGATCCTGAAGAGCCACCCAGCCTGGAGGAGCTGCAGGCACGGTACCGCAAAGCTGAGAAGATCCGCAACATCCTCGCCCGGTCCAGGTCAGCCCGCGCGCTGCCCGAGTCCTGAGAGCCCACTCGGCCGACTGGGGGTGTCTCCACTGAATTGGCCGTGGGCCCGGCTGGCCAGGATGTGTGTTGTGCCAGGCCTCTGTCTCAGACAAGCCTGCTCGCTGGAAGGGGCAGGCTGGCTCTCGGCACATCACCAACAGATCAGCAGGGAAGGTTGCCCAGGTCATCTGAGGGGTCCTGAAACACTCTGAGGGCCGTCCTGGGCCCTTGGCCCCAAATCCTGTGGCCCTCGCGAGCGTGGGGAGTGGAGCCAGGAATGGCACTGAGGTGGACATAATTGGAGATTGGCCCCGCGGATGGCACTCTCAGTGTTAGGGCCTGTGTTTCCTCACAGACCAGAGCTAGGGGCCCAGCCTTGTCCTGAGGTGCCAGAGGCCTCGCCCACTTCCCTGGAGGCCGGGATGGGACTTCCTTCCCCTCATCCTCTGTAGCCTCGGAAACTAAACCTGGTACCTGAGGGCCTTCCTTTCAGAGCTCGGTTAGCCTTTCCACATCTGGATTTAATAGGAGCCTAGAGCTGGAACTCTTATCTTGAGGTCTGTGATCCCCCAAAGGAAGAACAAAGCTGTGCCTGGGTGTTTGCAGAGAAGCGTGTGCACCTTCATCTAGAGAAAGTGCACCGTTTTTCTCTGATGCTCCCAAAAGGGTGAGGTCCTCAGGCCGGGGAGAGCCTCCTCCCCTGAGGCAGGTTCCCCGGGGTGGCGAGGCCCTCAGCCTGCTCTCTGGCCCCCCCGCAGCATGTGCAACCTGCAGCCGCCCTCTGGGCAGGACCGGAGCAGCGTGGCCGACGTGGACACGCAGCTGCAGGAGCAGGAGCGCATCATCACCATCTCCTACGCCCTGGCCTCCGAGGCCTCCCAGCGCAGCAAGCAGGTGGCAGGTGAGGCCGCGGGCTCAGCTTCTGAGGTCGGGTCCCAACCGCTGCAGTTTGGGGCTCAGGGCCCAGTGTGGTCTGTCAGGCAGTCAGTGGAAAACAGGGCATCAGGCTTGGCAGTTGAGGGCCAGCAGTGTGCTCCTCTGACCTGTGAGCAGCTCGGGGCTTGCGGGGGCACCTGCAGCTCAGGACTGTCAGAGGAAGGCGGGCCGGGAGGGGGCGTCTGTAGCTCACTCCTAAATCTAAGAGCGCTGCTGTTCAGCGTTCTCTGAGATTTCGAGTAAGAACAGGTTTTTTTAGGCTCCTGAGCTAAGGGGCCAAGGCCAAGGTTTCTGGCCTCACAAAGAAGAGGGCAGGAGAGTCGCTGGTGCTTGGACTTCTTGCTGGGATAAGGCAGAAGGGGGCCCCCCTCTAACCTTCCTGGGGGCCCTGCTCTGGTCCCAAAATCAAAGCCGCTGTTCACCTTATCAGAGTGGCCTGTGCCAAAAAGCAGGACTTGGGAAAGTGCGACTTTGCTCTCCAGTGGGAAGAAATAGCACCATGGGATGGGAGGGTACGTGTGTGAATGTATGCATGCAGGTGCGTGTGTGTAAAAAAGGCCTTCTCTCTCAGCCAGGAAAGAGGCTCCTGGCCCCTCTCTCCACCCACATCCGCCCTCCTCGTGTGCGCCCTCACACTTCACCCAGGGCTCTTTCTTCCCAGATGGCACTGTATGTCCAGGTGGTGCCCCTGCCCTTGGCCAGGTGTGAGAGGGGGTGGTCATAGAGCCTTAAGTGGTGTCACAGCCCCCACCAGTCCTCCAACCCTGGCTAGAGGGTCTAGCAGTGACCCAGGGTGGGGCCTGCTGGGTCCTGAGGTGACTGTCCTTGGGGAGCAGAGCTTTAACATCGCCTCAAGAAGCCATGGGAGTGACTGAGGACAAGGGGAACCCTGTTCTCTGTCCCTAAGCTCTGATCCCTGAAATCTCTGCTGTCCTGACTCCCTGGAGGACATGTGAATGGGCTGAGAGGGGTCACTGTAGAGGAGACAGCAGGTGACTCCCTGTGGCCCATCTCGGCAAAGTTGAATTCCTCCCTGTGTCAAGGGGTCCAGCAGGGGCCCCCTCCCCACCGTGAATTGCCCTCTTCTCTGGCCTGTGCTTGCTCTGCCTCTGTGGATCTGCTGTCCTCGGCTTCCTCACCACCAGCAGGCAGGTGCGCCTCAGACCTGACATTCTAACCGCCGGTAGTCATGTCCCCACTGAATGGCCACCTTTGCTGAAGTCTTTCCTCGCTCTTGCTCCCTTTCTTCACCTCAGAGACATTTCTGGGAACTGCAGGCTAATCCCAGTCAGGCCCCATGGATGTGCCCCCCAAGCACAAGCCGTTAGTGGTGAACAATGGGACCCACACCACCCCGGCCCTGCTAAGCGGGGCTTCTGGTGCTGCGGGAGCAGACGAGGGGTCTAACGCACCGCTTAATTCCTGTGTGCCCGTCTAGCGCAGCAGCTGGCCCTCCTCCCGCCTAAAGCCCCCCTGTCCGCCAGGACGGTGCCACCCTACCCCCCCTTAAGCAACGGACTCCACTACACCTTTGTCTAACACCTTCCAAGTAAGAGCCCCCGCCTGGCGTGGCCCCTCGCCTAGTGCTGAGCATGCCCCCTTCCCTCTGCTGCTGGGATGCGTGCAGTGCCACCTGCCGACGCTCCCTCCCAGGGGCAAAGCGGCCGCTGGGGGGACCACCCAGGATTGGGAGGCAGGTTGGGGGCTGATGGTCTTTAGGAACTTAGTGCTCAGTGGCTCCGATATGATAGAGACCGTGTGACCCAAAACTCCTGGTTCCCTAAAATCTCAGGAGCCAGAGCTGTACCCCTTCCCACCCTGCTATCCTTCCCGCAGGCGGCCCAGTGCCCCAGGGGACCAGTGCAGGCCAGACTGCCAGCTTTGGGGGGGGGCAGTAGTTGGAAAGGAAGAGTTAGATCTCAGCCTCTCCCTGTCCAGGTTTTGGCCAAAGAAATTGGAGAAACAGGGGCCTAGAAAAATCAGTTTTGCAGATGAGGAAATGGGGCTAGTGAGGGATGGGGGCTCACTCCAGGTCCCATGGAATGAGTGTCAGAGCAAGGACTAGGACTGCCCTTTTGTCACTTGAGCTACTTGAGCTTCTCAGAAGGGAGAGGAAGGGAAGCTTCAGGGGAATCTGCCTGGGGCAGTGGCCTTAGCCATGCAGAATGTTCCAGAACCACCCCTTCTGAGTTCGCCCCACGTGAGCATTTAGTGAGGAGAGGAGGCAGCGTGAGATTAAGGAGGGAGCACTGGACCAGGAGTCAGGAGGCTGGCGTCTGGTTCTGGCTTGTGGCGAGTTGTCAGCTGTTGCTTCTGAGCCCAGTTGCCTGACCTGGACGGGAGGGCGGATCAGGGGTTTCAGCAGCTCTTTCCCTGATGTCCCGTCTTGTTTGATAGTGTAGGGCTTGCCTTTTCTTTCCTCTCTGAGTTCTTAATGGTTAATGTTGTTGACCACCTACTATGTGACATGCCAGGCATGGTGCTGGGCATCTCCTCTGACAACATCCCTAGGGAGATACTCACCCCGTTTTACAAATGGAGAAACGCAGCTCAGAGACCATGAGGGACTTGCCCAGGGAGGCACGGCTGTGAGCGTCAGAGGCAGGGCTGGAACCACTCTGTGCAAGTTCAGAGCCTTTGTTCTGTCACCACTGGTGGGCTCATCTGGGCCACCCCCAGGAACTCGAGGTGTTGGAGAAGGGAGTGAAGTGAGGGATGGGGCTGTGTGTTTAGGGCGGAGGCATGACCTTGGGCAGGTGCTTCCCCCACTCCTTCCTCCCCGGGCACTCCGTCAGCCTGAGGGTGGCAGGAGGAGGCTGGCCTGTTGGGCCAGGCTCTCAGGACGTGTGCCACGGGGACCCCAGGACTGAAGAACCCCAGGGAAATGCTTCAGCCAGGTCCTTTGTAGAGGCCACAGGGTCCTCTGGGGCCACGAGAGGGTGTGTGAGATCTGACATGGTGATGCCACCCCAGGCCACAGAGAGGCAGGCGAGAGGCCCTGTTCTTCCCGGCCTTTGTTGCCTCCGCAGCTGTGAGGGAGGCTACTGTCTTTTTAGAGCACATCCACATTTCCTTTTACCCTCCCAGCCTCCTCATTAGAAGATGGGTATGATCACTATTTTTAGATTTAAAAAAACTGAGATCTGCGGAGGCTGAGTTACCCACAGTTGCTCAGCTAATGAAGGGCAGGGTCAGAACTGGACCCCCGAGTCCTCTCTGCTCAGGCCTTTTGTCCTTTCGGAGCAGGGACCCAATCTAGGGCCAGCATGTGTCTGGTGAGCTTCCTAGAAGTGGTGGGGTTGGAGGGTGGGTTGGGGCACCCATGAGTCCTAGAAGCCGAGGGTCCCCCAGCGGCGGCCGCGTTGCCCCAGCCCCCTGCTCTGCTGCTCTCTGTCTTGTCAGCCTGCTGTTCCCCGTCACGTGTGTGCACAGACATGCCTACCGCCTGCTCCCCAGACGTGGCCAGGGGTCCTGGCAGCCTCTCATTGTCTCCTGTGCTTTTTGCCAGCCCAGGCAGTGACTGACCCGTGACCGAACATACAGAGAAGCCTGGAGCCAGGGGCCAGTGGAACCAGTTTCCTCCGAGAAGATTGATCCTTCTTCCTCCAGAGAAGCCCCTTCCAGCCAAGCAGGGGTTCCGGCTGGAGGACGGAGCAGCCCACTGACTGTGGGGCATTCACCACAGGGCTAGGTCCTAATACCCCCACTTGTTTTAGTTCAGACTCCTTTTTACATGTGACAGAGGCACTTTTGATACACATTGTAAAATACTGACATTGTATTTTAGAATCAGAATATATTTTATAATGTTCACCTCAAGGGCTGAGTGGCTGAGAAGGTGAGGATGCAAGATTTTGGAGCTGCACATACAGATTCAGGTACCGTCCGGGTGGAGGGTGTGGGTGGGGGGACAAGGGCGGGGGAACAGGTGCGTCCAACGTCTGATGAACTCAGGTGAGGTTGGATTGGTTGCTTCCAGTGGATTCCAGTGTTAGGCTCGTTGGCGTGCTGTCTGGGGCAGAGATCAGCCATCCCTGACCTGCCTAATGACCAGCTCTGGAGGGCGAAACTCCACCAAGGTGGCACGTGGAGCCCAAAGCTGTGTCTCAGCCTTGGGTCTGATTTAGGGCCAACGGTGTATCCATAAACTTTGGTTCCCAACCTACCCATGAGGTTCTCTCTCAGCAAAGGGCTCTTCTCCCCCGCCCCCCACCCCAAATAAGCAGTTCGCTTTAATTAAAAAAATATGCTTTGAAATACAGAAAAGGTGAGAGGAAGCACCTTTGATTGTATCATAAGCAATAATGGCCACCCTGGGTGGCATCTACCTACAACTCCCCGAGTCCACACTGGGCTGTGATAGGAACCCTGGGACCTTGGCGGCCTGCCCTGGAGAACACAGGTCAACTTCCCCAGGACTTGGGTCAGGTGGCAGGAGGGCAGGCGGCATGCCCCCACCATCCCTGATGGCCAGCAGCCAGTAGGGCCATGATGGCAGGACCGTGACCTGACTTCCAGCCTAAAATGGGGAGGGGACTGCCAAGCCAGGCGTAGTGTTTGTGGCCCTTTATATAAGTCATGAGCTCATGATATTCTGCATACAGAAAAGGAGGTTGAAAAGGAAAACAAAAAAAAAACTCCATTGGGTGGAGCCACACTTTAAGTGAAAATTTGTCTTTGACTATGGTCAGAAAAATAATCTTGAATATATTTAGAAATTGCCGTCTATTTTTAACTAACTCCATATGCTGCCAGTATCGACTTCATGACATTTGCCAAAATAAGATTTTATTTTTGCCTTTATAAGATTTTGTTGGAAAAATGAAATGAATATTTTGCAGGAAAAAGTTAATTTAAATAAAAGTGTAATGGTTTGCAAAAAAGAAATGTGATGTACAGATTAAAGTATTAACCTGATATGCTTCTTGCTGGCTATATTCTCATGAGTGGCCTGTGTTAGTTTTTTTCCATTTCTTTGGAGAATCCCCAGTGTCGGCTCTCGATCCTGCCATGTTCACCTATGAAGTTTCTCCTGATGACAGTTCCCTGACACTTCATTGACTTTGGAGGCCTAGGGGAGGAAGGCCTGTGCTCTTGGGCCCTTGGCTGGCTTCAGCAGCTGCTCAGGATGGCCCCCTACCCCAACCCCCCCCCCCCCGTCCAGGGGCCAGCGGGCTGTGGACTCCCATGTGGGGCTGGTTTGGCAGGCGGACTGCAACCCAAGGTGGCGGGAGGGGCTCCACAGGCCCTCTTCCAACCCGCATGCCATCGGCTTGTTCCAGTGAGGCGGGTTAGTGACAGACCATTGCAAACTGGATTTGTATTTAATTCGTTTTGACTTGTGATGTATCCTTAAAACAGAAGGCAGGAGGCCAGTTCGGTTTAGGGATGTGTACGTTTCCAAGTTAGTTGTCATGACAGTTTTTCTCTGTCGCCAAGAAGAGCACCCGAGGTTTAGAGTGACTTTCCAACTATTTAAACTGGAGAAAATAGATGCCAAGGTGTTCGGAAGAGGGGACGCTGCTGCTTTTTTAGCTACAGATCTCTCTTTGAATTTTAAAATGAAAAATACTCTTCGCTGTTAAGCATTACTTGGAGGTATCTCCATGACAGATGAAAGGGATGGGGGAAAGATTTGTCCACGAGTGAGTGCAAGGCGAGAAGGAGGGACAGGAGGCAAAACCCCCAACACAGGGTGGCCGCCTGTAGACATTCTCTCAGCAGAAGTACTGTGGTGGTTTTCTTACTAGTTGGTCTCAGTTTCTGTTTTGCACGTCCCACCCTGTGTAGGAGCAAACGTGGTGACTCCAGCTCCAGCTGGGAGGAGGGGTAGCCTGTTCTCTAAGAGTTGCAGCCCAAGTTTCAAACAGAGTTCATGATAGGCCCTCAGCTCAGACTCTGCGAAGAGCGTGTGGTTGGGAAAAGGCCCATAGCTCCAGCTAAGTCCTGTGTGAGCAGGCAGCAAGGCCCGGCCCCCTCGAGGTCAGATGGGTCCATTTGCGAAGGTACTGGCTGACCAGGGACCCTCCAGCTGGGGGCCATCCTGGGAAACTCCACATGGCCCAGCGATTCCAGCTTCACTTCTTTAAAGGGGCTCACGGGGCCTGAGCAGAGTTTTAAACAGTGGGATTTCAGTTGGCAGCGGGGACGCGAACATTCTTTTGCATGCCTTGCTGACATCCATTCCTGGCTTCCTGATCTTAACTTTAACCCAAGTCCCGGTTGAGCCCAAAATGTCTGTCTTATTCTGTCTTATTTTAGAACATTTTAGGATCTGGTATAAAGCGGGGGTTGGAAATAATTTTTCCCTAACCCCCACTTGATCCTCCTGGACTGCCCAGATTCTCAACATGTCCAGGGTGTTATTTAAAGGATTACAGCTGAGATGTAGGTACATGTGTGAGTGCATGTGAAGTAGGTGTGCCCAGGCTGATGTAGAGGTTGAAAGCTGGCCCTTTTTGTTCCCCTTCCTTCCTTTTTCTTCCCACCTCTGTGTCTGGCTTTGGTGGGGCAGCGGGGCACAGGGTAGAATCTGTAGCTTGCCCCTTTTCCCTCGAACCCCTTGGCCACCTTCACTTACACTGGTTTCTCCAGAATTTTCCTGGCTGTTGTAGGTTGCAGCCTAAGGCTGGGGAAACCTCCATCTGCCCAAGGTCAGCTGGAGGATGGAAGGTGGGGAGTGGAGTGGATGGGGACCCTGGCTCAGCCAGACAAGAGCCCATGTTCAGCTCTGGGAGTTTCCCCAGCCACAGTGCTGTACTGTATGGTGAGTCCTTTTGTGTTCACACCAAGGGTGGGAAAGAAGCAGCAAATTATTTGTCTAATCCACAAATCACATTTCTGAGATGAGGCAGGCAAATGCTAGGAGCCCTCTGCTTCGAATTCAGCATCAGACGCTGGGGCGCGTGAGGGACTTTGCCCATGTGGGTTGCGCACTGTTATGAAAAGAACAAAGAAGAGACTGGGGGGATGCGGAAAATGGCAGCCCCTCCCGGCCTGGTAAACACGCCATTGCTTTGCTGCCTCCACTCCAAAGGCTACCACTTTCATTGCTCTCTGAGCAAAGAAACCTTTCTTCAGAGCGAGTGGCGGGGTACAAAGGCAGAGTACAAAATGTGTGCACATCACAGTCCCTGCAATTCTGTTTGAACAAGCATATTGATTGGGTCTGACCTTGTTACATTTTTCCCCTATTATTTGAAAAGGTGCATCTAAGTGTAGTGAATTGAACCAGCGGAGCTGAACTTTCCATGAAAACTTCTTGAGGTATTTCTTTAGTTCAAAGCTTTTGAATTTTAAAGGGCATTTTTAATATGAGTCTGTTGAGTATTCTCTGCCACAGCCCAACAAGGGATGTTAAATGCAGATGAGGCTGGAGCAGGGGTGCACGTTGGGGTGGATGTGCCACACAGTGGAGGGTGCAGGTCGTGGTTGGAGTGTGCGGACCAGCCCAGGAAGGGCCAAGCTTTGGGGAGAGAGCAGCATACACAGATGCTGCGAAGGGGGACAGCTTAGGAGATGGGCAAGGGGCTTCCCAGCTGAGAAATACTTGCTGGGGTCTCCTGATGAGGGTTTTGTCCTCATGAATCACGGGCTCCTTACTCAGCCACTCTCTTTCTCGCACACTGCGCTTTAGAACTGAGAAGGAGTAAGAGGCACAGTCCCTTGGCTGAGGTCACAGAGTCAGACAAGAAGCTGCCACTGTCCTCAGCCCTTGACATCACTTCGCAGTTGCAGGTACTTTCCCACTGAGCCCTGAGCTACATCTCAGTCCTTAGCTGATTCAACATCCTGGGATGTTTTGCTAGTTGCAGGGGCCATAGCAGTGTCTCTCTTGCCATCCTGGCCTGGCCCTTGGAAGCATCCACAGGGTCTTCTTCCCCACCACCACCGGGGGCCTCTCCTCTCCCACTGAAGGCACACAGCCCCTTTTGACTGAGCCGAGTGTCTGGTGGCCTCTGGTGGCCTCTTGGATCTAGAAAGCACCTCCTTCCTAAACCCAGAATTTGGGATCAGAGACAGAATTGTCTGTAGGAGGAGCTGGAAAATCAGGTCCTATGTTGAAAGAACCCAGGTTTGAGTATCTCAGCAAAGTCCTTTGTGTCCTTCCCAAATCTCGAGCCTAGAAGACTGGCCTGGGGAGGTCAAAATAGGGTCAGAATCATAGTAACAAAAGGTAAAACACCCAGTCTTCTCTGCCCACAACTGGGAACACCGGCCCCATTCAGATTCCTCCTAGAGTCTAATCCTGGTTGTACTATTTTTCCAGCCCTGTGACCTTCGGCAAGTTACCTAACCTCTCCATGCCTCAGTTTTCTCACGTGTAGAATAAGGGTTTATATTAGCAGCTACCTCAGGAGAGTTGTTGTGAGGATTAAATGACTTATTATGTAGAAAGTGCTAAGCATGGTTCCTGGCCCCATAGGAAGCACTAGAAAAAATGTAAGTTATCATTTACCAGCATTTAAGTTACAATTATTTAACACATATCACATTCTCATTCTTTAATTAGTCTGTTTGTTTATTGCCTGTCTCCCTCACAAGAATATAAGCTTGGTAAGAGCAAGGGTTCTTGTTCATTATATTATGCCTAGTGCCCAGGACAATGTCTGCCACAAAGTGCTGAGAAATAATTCATTGAATGAATAAGGGAATGAAAGAAGTCAAAAGCTGTTGGCCAGGGAGCCCTCTCTCTTCTTCATATCGCTTTGCCTCTCTCTACTCTGATCAGTTGCATGTTATATGCTCTAGTCCCCAGAGAGCATCCCTAGTGCCCTATTTTTAAGTTTCTTGAGTTGTAGGTAAGAGCAGGGACTGTGGAAAACAAATCCACCCATATTAACTCCAACCTTGGGCAAGTCACTGGACCTCCTTAAGCTTCAGTTTCCTCCTCTGAAAAATGTGAATAACAGCACCTACCTTATATGGGTGATGGGAAACTGCATGAGAGCATCCTTAAGCACCGCCCCTGGCGTGGGACCCTCTCAGCCAGAGGGCATCGTGCTGGTTTGCCTTTGTGTATGATCCTTAGTGTGAACAGCAAGGCTCCAGGTGGCTCTTCCACATTCAAACCCTGTCTCCTTTCCCTGGCTCGGCAGGATAAAGGGGTTTCGGGTCAGCTGCCAACCCCGCCCTAGTCTTCTGCCCTCCGCTATCTGCTTGCCATTTTAGACAGTTGCATGCAGCAAGTAAAGCAAGGGCTGAGGGCTTTTGAAGTTGGGGTTCACAAGGCTGTGCCACTGCCAGGCTGCCTCCCTGAACTCTCCAGGGGCTGAGGACGGGCGAACCCTCTAAGGCGTCCCCTTGCAGCCCTGCGGCTGTCCACCCCGACAGTAGATCAACCTGTGCACGCCCCTTTGATGTCAATTCCCAAACTGGAGCCTCGTCCGCTGCTCTGAGGACCTGGGCTTTGAAGTTGGTCTATAAACTGAGCTTTCAGGAAGAAAGTTGTCTGTTGTGCCTCAGAGCACGGCTGGGTCCTGTAAAGGCACACATAATGCCATGAACACCTGATAAATAATTCTTTCTGGGCCCAAGAAAGATTCATTCCATTTATAGGGCGGAAAATTCCCTTGACCTTTTCATTGAAGTTCTTGGGGGGAGGTGGTTAGGGAGGGTTTCCATGTCTTCTCGCTGAAGTCACATGGGGCAGGCAGGTTGTCTAAGAGCTGAGCTCCAGTGACTTCTCCAGGACGGCTCCCTGTCCCATGACCCCAGCCCGAAGTCCCCTTAGCCTGCCCTGCTCCCCCTCATGTTGGCTGCCTCCTGTGGGGGAGCCTGGGAGAAGATCAGGCCCTCCCACAGGAAGAGGGGCCTCAGCCTCCCCCCGGCCAAACCCTGCTGCAAATGGTAGCGCTTCCAGGAGGCACAGCCCTGTTGTCTTCCTTTCCTTCCAGGGCCTGGCATGGTCAAGAGGAGAGGCAGACAGGATTTCC